GCAAAAGTGAATTTGGTTGCATACATCGACATTAACTCTCCGCATCTCTTTGTGAATGATGAAATAATAGATGCTCACATTCACATTGTTACAAGTCATTAGTGAAATTAGTGAAATCACTATCGGTGCGGCCATAAATTACGAGTACACCTCGTTAACCGGCTGCCTCTTGCGTTACGTGCGATGCCACCGCAATAAATAATTATGAATATAATAAACGGTGTCGCGCACCGCGTGCAACTGGTTATTACCACCGGCTGTGGACCACCAAGACACAAGAAAGACATTTACTAATAAATACTATGATATGGCGTGTTTAAAGTGTGCAAGTAGAAGTGATTTCACGATAATTAACGCGTTGGGACATTATTTTATTGTTATTGTAATAAAACAAGTATTAGCTTATGAAATATTAGACTAAGAACAAAATACGGTAAAATGGCATTGAATATTTAATATACAATGTGTTTTTGTGGGTTTTTAATCGGTTTTATTAGGTTTTATGTGTGAATAGCTTAGATTTCTTGGATAGATGGCGCTGTCAACATGAAAACATCAATATAACCTCAAAATTTTATGTTTTAATCAAGATTTGTGCTTTATTGTTGCTTTTGAAGAGGTTTTCATGGAAATTATGTGGAAAATGCGTTGAAATTAATAATAAAAGAGAGAAATTATTAAATATCAAGCACAATTAGTGAATATAATTTAATTTTACGAGTAAATAGCTTAGATTTCTTGCATAGATGGCGCTGTAAAGGTAAAAACATCAATTTAACCTCAAAAATAATTTTTGAATACCGATTATAGCTTTATTATTGCTTTCGAAGAGGCTTTTATTGAAATTATGCGTAAATTGCTTACAGGAAGTCGGAAAACGCATAAAAATTGATAATAAAAGAGAAAAAAATAAATATTAAGCACTCACATCGTTATAATTCAAGTTTAATGCGTAAATAGCTTAGATTTCTTGCATAGGTGGCGCTGTTAACGTGAAAACATGAATTTAACCTCAAAAATGTGTTTTTATTAAATGTTTGCTTTTATTTATGCTTTCAAATTGAATTCAAATTTTTTTCAAATTTTTATAAAAATTATCCATAAATAACTTTCAGAAAGACAAAAAACACTTATAATATAGGCAACCAACTTTTCTTTTCATCACTTTTCATAACTGTCAAGTTTAATGTTAATCCAAAACTTAATTTTGTATGCAAATTCCACTGTGAACTCTATTGTCTACAAATTTAAACCTCTGGCAGGTTCAAGATCCTTTCCTAATACAATTCATTAGCACCGTATTTACAAACGGTTCAACTTCGGTGTGAAGTCAAGTCAAGTCCAAGGTTTCAATGTATTTCACCATTTCAACGTATTTCTCAAAGTGTGTTTAGTGTTTAGTCTGTTTAGCATTTCGTGCGTATGTTTACATTAGCCATTTATACTTTGAACTTACAAAGTTTCGCGACCCTAGCCGACGTTTTACGACCTCGTAACACACAGTATGATGTTTGATGGATGCACTTTGTTTATTTTTAGTTTAGTTGAGTGCAAGAGTTGTTAGTGAGTGATCATGTCCTGTGTGCAATGCACGAAGATGAGAAGTGGATAAATAAATAAACGTCTAATAAACATAATAATAGATGTTTTTCACTTTGGGGGCTTTTATTTGAGGTTATGAATAGATTCAAAGGCAACGAACTCGATGATTATTAATAAATATACTTTAATCATGTTTCTGGTTGATTTCTTCACAAATTGAATTGTTATTAACTCGTAGAAAGTTAAAATAGGTTCAGATAATATTTTTGTAGTGGTTTTAACCTGTAATTTTTGATTCTAACCACGAAATTGGCTCAAAAATGATTTTTTTAATAAATATTTGAGTTGAAATTAATAATTAAAGCAAAAATATTAATTATTAAGTAGAATTAGCGAATATAATTCAATTTTATGAGTAAATAGCTTAGATTTCTTGCATAGATGGCGCTGTCAAGGTGAAAACATCGACATAACCTCAAAATTTCATTTTAAATAAAGATTTGTGCTTTATTTATGTTTCCAAAGAGGTTTTCATAGAAATTATGCGAAAATAACTTACAAAAACGTCTAATAAACATAATAATACACATTTTTCACTTTAAGAGCCTATATTTGAGGTTATGAAAAGATTGGATGGCAACGAACCCGATGATTACCAATAAATATACTTCAATAATGTTTAAATCATGTTCCTGGTTGTTTTCTTCACAAATTGAATTATTATTAACTCGTAGAAAGTTAAAATAACCTTAGACAATATTCCACTAGTGATTTTAATGTTTTTTAACCTGCAATTTCCGATTCTGACCACGAAATCGCCTCAAATACCTTGATGCGCAGTTAATGCGAGCAAAAAATCGTAATAACAATAACCAGCTCGACGGAAATAACAGTACAGCCATTACGATACTTTTATTATTGCGATTGTAGCAGCCAAGCTTGATTGGCCGATGGCGAAGAAAAACAAATCAAAAGTAGGTTGGTGGGTTGATGCCGCGCATCGGAAACATGAGCATCGACATTAAAATAAAATAAAAATTATCGCCGCGGCTCATATTGTTCTTATCGGCTTGTGTTATAATAATAGTAATAAAATGCGTTTCAAGGTTAACTACACACTGCTGTACTCATATTATATACTCGTAACCACAGTAAAGATAACACAAGAATTTAAATAAGTTTGTGATACGCTTGTAAAGTATACAATCAAAAGGGAATAAGTTTTTTATCTGTCGTTATCGTTCTCGTATGTCTACATTTCAATGAGTTTGTATTGAGATCTTTTTACTTCTTAGAAAAAGATTAAAAAAAGATAAAAGTTGAGTGTTGTGACGTGGATGGAAGGGTATTATACGTCATTGTGAGAGGTTTCCGGTCGTCAAAGTGCTATAGTGACACATCTTGTTAAGTTTTTGCTGTGTTGCCATATGTAACATCAATTTAACCTCAATTATGTTCTTTTAAACATAAAAACTTGATTTTTACTTGAAAAAGTGAAAAATATTAAAATATAATTGAAAACTTGATGTTTTTTTCATTTTTGCTTTATTAAAACATTTTGTTAAGTTTTTTCCGGAAATTTTGCGTTGTTGCCAAATCTAACCTCAATTTTGCTCTTTTCACATAAAAAAACTTATTTTTCACCCGAAAAGGTAAAAACTATTAAAATATAACTTAAAACTTGATATTTTACCAGAAATATTGCAATGCTGCTATATCTAACCTCAATTTAACCTCAATTTTGCATTTTTCAACAAAAAACTAATATTTTACCCGAAAAAGTAAAAATATTAAAATACGACTAAAAATGTGCTATTTTTCCTTTCCTTCTATTTAATAAATCATTTTGATAAGTTTTTCTCCAAAATTTTGCTCTGTTGCCACATCTAACCTCAATTTAACCCCAATTATATTATTTTCAACACAAAAAACCCTACTTTATACCTTCCCAGGTATAAAAACTATTATAACACAACTTAACTTGATATTCTTTCTTATTTTTACTTTTATTTTCGTTTTCAATGTGAGGCAGATGTTCAAAGTTGAATGAAGTAGAAGTAGACCTTCAGCTTCTCCTCTTTCTCATCTGTTCCCATCCGCAGAGAAGCTACCTGGACTCGAAACTATTTAATTTCTTTCACCTTGAGTCTTGAACATCTACCTGCACCAAAACGTAAATATCAGGGCGTACACACCTGTCGCCCGATGGCTTCTTGGTTTTCTCGCTCACGGCCACGGATACCATTTAATCAACACCATACGAGTAAAAAGAAAAAAACACAATTTTTATCTCCACTCGTATGAGTTAAGACTTTTCCCATCGTATAAACACAACTTAATGAGTATTCCTCTTGACTCGTAATGTCTAGACATTAAAAACTGACTGGCGTACAATAGATATCGAGCTTACAGTCTTACACGTTTAGATTTTATGCGTGCGCGTTTAATTTACGATCGGAATGTTGAATTATCCACACACAACACAAAAGTGTGGATAATTATTTAATACACCACCTCAGCTGCAGTTGTAGTGTGAGAAAATGCTACTCATAGTCTTAAACAAGTGGGAATATGTTTTTTTTAACGCCAGAATGCATGATGCACTTGTAATTTCAAGAGAAGCGAAGAGAATTGCCTCGCAACTTAAGAGATTTAACATTTAACTTGTATGAGAGAAGTGATGAGAGACGTTGAGCTACCGGGGAGTAACCAGACGCAGAACACTTGTGTAAAGTTTCATGTTTCATTTCTTAAATTTCAAAATACGAAAATAAAAAATAAATGGAATTTTTGAGTTCTGCATGTTTGTAGCGTTGGATGAACGAAATACATTTATCGAAACCGTTCAGCGGAACGAAATACACTGTATGTATGTATGTATGTTGCGAATGTGTGCTGGTACATCCTCTTCGGATGTGTAATTTATACGCGTGCCAGCGGTTTCTCTTCGTCGGCACGGCGCCATTTTTTTATTTCGGGACGCTTGCGTATCACATACACACCGGATGACGCTCGGATGATTGTCGTGTTTTTGTTTCCATTGTGTATACGTACTTTCAAAACCATATGTATTGTACAATATATTGTGCAATCATAGAATTAAAGATGTATGTGTACGAGGGAAGCCTACCGATCAAATATTTGAAGCAAATTCCAAAATATCTCAAATATTTTGACATTTTGAATTTCAAAACCTCACATAACCTTAAAATTGCATACAATATATTGTGCAATCATAGAAGAACTTATAATACACAAATTAAAGATGGATGTGTACGAGGGGAAGCCTACAGATCAAATATTTGAAACAAATTCAAAATTGCGGCCCAAACAACGAAATTTATCCGAAAAAATCTTGAATTTAAAAACCTTACATAACCTTAAAATTTCATTCAATATATTGCGCAATCAATCAATCAATCGATAAAAAAATAAAATTTTCAATTTTTTGATTTCAGTTGCGAATACAATTCGTCGAAGCCATCCCCCAGGTGTTTGAATACCCATCAGAAGCATCAATGCTCATCGATGACACACCAGCCCTAAATCAACCCCTCGGTGGTACCACAGTTCCTTCACTCAGCGGTAAGCATAACCTCACCTCAACTAACAAACACCCAACGAAATCCTCTTTAGATGTCTGATTGCAATCGATTCTAGGCTCGACGCTGGCCAACTACACGCCCAAAGGCGCCGCCAATGAGTTTCAACTTGGTGTCACCAAAGCACCACCACCGCCGCTCCCCACGGACATCCTCGCCAAAGAAGACGAGGATGTGATAGAGCACGACACACCCATGCTCTTCAGTTCCGGGACGAACGCCGACATTCTCTTCTAATTTATAAATCTAAATCTTTACTTCAATTGAATTCAACTTGAAAATTTTGTTTACTGTTAATTAATTCATGATTACATCGAACTGATACTACTGCTTCGTCGTACATTCCCTACGTTTTTAATCATCATTGAATATTTGTTTATGTGTTTTGGGTAGCCTAGTTGTTGTGTTGCGATGCAAGCTGTATTATAGAGATATTTATTCGTTAAGAACGCTTCTGTCTATATTACTGTATAATAAATGAGTATATTTAAGTCAGTTTGTAATGTTTTAAAGGCAAGCAATTGTATTATGGAAATTTATGTAATGTACTATAACTTATACGATATACTATGTCAAGTTTAACTGAAATCATCGAGTTTTTGATATGAAAAGCTATAAAAGCGATGCATGTATGCAACCAGTGCAGCCATCTTGTAAAACTTTTATACTTTACTATACATATTCGTACGATGCAATAAACTAAACGATTAAATCAAAATTTAACGAAATTTTTATTATTTTATTATTTTCTTGGTGGATGCGCGCGTCGCATGGCTATTTTCGTCGCGTAGGTGGTGGTGGCGGCTGTTGGGTTACAGCGTGCGCCGAATCGATATCGCCCTCGACGATTTGCAACCCTCGCGCGAGTCGAAAACATCTGCATTCGTCAATTATACAAAACAAATAGTCTAATACCACGTATAATACGCTTGTAGTTGTAGTGTGTAGTTGCTTTTAATGATAATCAAGTGAAAAACGTAGAAGAATGTTGGAGGGCGCTGTGGCGAGGATCCTTAATCAACTCCTGGGGAAATATGTCGTCGATTTGGACACGGAGAACCTCAACGTGGGCATATTCAGCGGACTTGTTCAGCTTACTGATTTAAAATTAAAAACTGAAGCTTTGGTGAGTTAAAAATTAATTTTTTTGAATTTTTTGTTATTAAATGTTTTTAGTATGAATTAAGACTGCCTATACAAGTCCGTGCTGGTACAATTGGAAAGATCTCATTGCAAATACCATGGTCATCACTCTGGAACCAACCAATTGTGGTAACCGTAGAGGATATTCATGTTCTGTGCATGGCGATTGTAGGAGAGCGATTTGATGCAGAACAAAACAAAAGACTGCTTAGAGGTTTTAAGAAGCAGACGCTGGAGGCCATCGCCAATGCGTTTTCGGTTATTGGTGGACCCGGGCTTTTCTCCGAGCATTTACTAACGAATATTGTTAATAACATTCAGTTATCCGTTGGGAATATTCATGTGAGGTATGAATGTCAGCTGGGGGATGTTCCAATGGCGGTTGGGTTGTGTATTGGTGGGATTACAGCTGAGAATACTAACAAGTAAGACAAAATGGCGTATTTTTTGTTTTTCTGATGTAAAAATGTAAAATTTTATTTTAGCAAGTGGAAAGCATGTCCAACTGGATATAAATCCAGTGATAATCTTTGTTATCACTTAGTGAAGGTGGAAGCGTTGTGTATTTATTGTAACAGTGAGGAGAAACTCCCACAGTGGGATTTTTCTTGTAACAATGGGTACTACGCATGGAAAAACTCCATGGCGAATAGTTTACAGAACTATTCGATTGAAAACGATTTCAATTTCTGTAAGTTTTAATATTTTAATGTATGCAACACACTGTACTACCGTATATAACAAGTTGCCTATATTGAGTTTAAAACTAATGTTTTTAAAAATATTTTTACAGTTGTACGACCTATGAGCATAAAACTAAAAATGACAATAACCAAAGATCACGGCCAAGTAAAGAAAATATCATCCGATTGCATCGTGCATGACCTAAACGTCCATTTGGACAAAAAACAGTTTGAAACACTCGTATCTCTTTATGATTCACTGCAGAGAGCTTACATCGCATGGGATTTCATTGCATTCCGACCGGAAACACAACTTAAAAACAAAAATAAACAGATTTCAAAGAAAACAAACGCCGAAACAGATTGCACTGCAAAATCATGGTGGCATTATGCTTATAAAGCAGTTCTCATGCAAAGAGTTCATCCTTACACTTGGTCCCAGATTAAACAAACCCGTCACCATGCAAAATACTATAGTCAACTTTATCAACAGCATATTTTGAACCCCAATGATACGGAGTTAAAACTTGATCTTCAACAGTATGAAGATAAACTTAATGTTACCAATATAATCATCGCTAGGCAAGAAGCTAGGTTAAGAGTAAAAACACAATCGATTCAAGAGAAATCTTTCTGGGATGTATTACCATCGCCTGAGAAGCAACTCTTGTGTGAACGTATTGGTTTCATGGAGTTTATGGAGACTTCCTTCACGAATTCAAGTTTAAACATTGAATATGAGTATAATTTCCGTGTGGGTAACACTTGTGTTGCGTTGACGAATGCTAAAGACCGGGAAATATTGGTTTTGACTCTCACGCAGATAATTGGCAGTTACAGACCGAATTTTGGTGATCAAAGAGATCGTATTGAAAAAGCGGAAAGAGTTGAGAAAGGAGAAAAAGAAGTGATTGCTAATGTAAAGCGTAAAAATAGAAAACGTGATAAAGGCGCGTTGAAAATTGAAGGGATTATTATCGAAGGTGCTAATGAAAAGGAGCATTTAGTGCCAATTATCTCTTCGAATCATGAAGGACATGATAGTCCTGCGTATTTCTTAAGAGTTGACTTTGAGCGGTATCCGGACAGTGGTAAGCGGATACTTGAGAAGAAATTATCAAAATGAGAGTTAATTTTGTACTGGAACAATTGGAATGTGCCTATGATAAGGTATTTTTAATCATATTGATTAAATTATTGCATTTTTTAATCAAAATTTGTTGTTTTTGTGTTGTTTAGTATGCGTACGAACAAATAGTTAATTATTTCGACAAGGATTACGTTTCCTGGTCGAATTGCAAGCCACATTTGGCGAAATATCCGCAAATTATGATGGAAATTATGGAGGAACACTTGTTGAACAACTGGGACTTTAATATCGTGCTAAACTTTCCGTATTTTGTTATACCGGAGAAAGGACAACCGTTGAACAGGTATTTATACGTTTTAAATGTTATTATTAAGTGTTAGAAACGCTTACCATTGCTGGAAAACACTTGGTTGCACTCATTACTGCTTCATTGTTTAATTTTAACTGATTGTTAAAACTGGCGCGAAGTGTAAATGAGATAAATTTAATTGACAGAATCGTAGTAGGCAAATTGCGCGTCAGGGGGCAGCACCATACCATACGTTTTAAATTTAAAATTAATATAATCAAATTAAAAGTGGTTTAGTTTATTATTTTTGTTTAAAACATTAATTTATAATTATACAAATCTAAATTTGTTTAAATATATGGTTTTTTAATGTTTAAAAAGCAAATTTTGTTCAAAAAATTAAATTTAGTGTAAAAATTTACCGCTAGATGTCCACACAATGCAGACTCCAGCATTAAATCAACTCTATTTGTAAATTTTATAGTAATCTATCACCCATCTTAATAATCGATCTTGGACAATTAAAATTGAGCACAGAATTGTGTCGACCATCATTAATAGCTGATAACGCCACCCAAATGGAGCTCGAAGAGCAAATGTACTCAAAATACCACGTAGAACTAAAAGGACAACAAATTCTCCTTGCTCTGCATGAAAAAGACAACTGGAAAGCAGCGAAACGCGAACGCGACACAGAACTTCACCTTCTCCCAAAAATGAAAAGCACCCTTGATTACTGCTCATGCATCAAGAAGATAAAAACAATTGCTGAACACAAAATAAACTGGAACATTCAAAGTTTCAAAGTGAATCTATCCGAGAAAAAGATCTTGAATCTCTTGGCTTTCATCAAAGGTTTTGAACAATTAAACAAAACCAATGAAACAACCATTAAAACAACTCAAACAACACTAAAAGATAACATAATAAACAAATTAAAGCTGGATATGTACAGGGGAAGCCTTCCGATTAAATATTTGAAGCAAATTCAAAATGGCGTCACTATTAACGACGGATTACGCAAACGCAAAGAACGCCTACGCAAACAACCATCGATTATTGATAAAAAGATAGAACACCACGCAAAAAATACAAATGTAAATGAAGCATGGGCAAGATGTGTTGATTTACCAGGCTTAGAAGACAACATCTCACCTAGCAACACCATCAAGGTCATTTGGAGACTTGTCCTGAACGAACTACAAATCTCCTATTCACGGTCATCAGATACAACGGACACGCCATATTTAAATCTGCGTTTTGGGTTAATTACAATCGATTTAGCTCTGATGACCTTTGGTCCCGCATATCAATTCTCCTGGGGAATATCATCCTTACTGATAAGATGCACACAACCCCAAGTGGGCAATACTTGGATTTACTTCATAGTCCTTTCCCTAGTACCGTGGATGTGTTTTCTGTACTCTATAGAAAGGTGGGAGCTAATTGTCCTGACTATTGGTCACATTTCCATGGTGTAGAAACGTCCCTGGTTGCTGATTTTGGTACTTTACACATAATGCTTCACCAGGAAGCTGTTAGGACCTTAATACAATACTGGAAGTATATCAAAGACAAAATAATCGGAAGTTGTAATGAAACAACCACAAATATCGTTGGAAACATGAAGAAAATACTTTTTGGAGGTTATGAGAAGTATTTCAAGACCAAGGTACCTGTACCAAGTGGTAGCATCAAGTTTTCTCATTCTGGGAGGCTAGGGGACTTGAATCTACGTATCCTAGACTCTGATTTTGACATTCTGAATATCCATCTTCAAGGGCTAGAAGCAGATTTCTTGTTCCGAGCAAACGAAAGATTCGTCTTCAGGTCCTTTCTGAGTTCTATTGATGTAGAACACTTAAGTGATGTTACTTTATACAAAAAAGTCCTCTATGCTGATGAAGACAAAGTCTTTGAACTGAAATACGTCAGATTCTCAGATGTATCAGAAAGTGAAGCATCCAGCTTCAAATTTACTCTTGGACAACTCCATATTACTTTTCTGTATAAATTGATTGTTCAACTACATAGATTTCTACTGAATCTGGGAATAGGTCACTATTGTCAGAAAGCCATTGAAAAACTGGATACATCCATGGAGAAAGCAACAGAATCCCTGAAAACCAACGTCAAGATCAATTTGAGTGTCAACATCAAAGGTCCTGTATTCCTAATTCCACAGAAATCATCATCTCCGAATGTTTTGATTGTGGACACAGGCAACTTTACAATCGAAAACTTCTTCAAGGACACTCAACATGACACTATTGAGAATATCCTCATCAAATTAAAAGAGATTATTGTATCTAGAGGAGTTGTTTTGATGAATGCAACTCTGGGAAGTCAAGAGACAATTGTAGAACCTATGCAGATTCATCTAGATGTCAAAAGAATCATCCCCAAGTCAAAGAGTATCAAAACAATGACCTGGGAAGTTGATGGATTACTGGATACCATCAATGTTACACTTGGTCAGAAAGACGTTACCATGTTACTGGCTATCCTATCGGATAACATGACAGAATCTTCATCTCAGTATAACCTCACTAAAGATCTATTACTAAGTCATCAGAATTCTGTAAATGATGATGACGAATCTGCAACAATGAGGAATCTGGAGGTGTTTTTCGCAGAACCCAAACAAAAACCTTGAATTGTAAAATATCCTGTGAGGGTATCAATGTTTTACTGTTTTTTGACAGTGGGGAACTGCTGAGTTCTCCAATGAGGGACCTCAATCATGGTTTAGCGAAATTACAGATTAACGAGTTGGCATCTTGCTGTGTCCTGTATACAGATGGTTCTATGGATGGTAAACTAGCTGTGGATACTGTTATCATTGAAGAAATAGGTCCTGAAAGCCTTGTAACTGGTGATAACAGAATTCTACATTCCCCGTATGACGAAAACAAGAATAACAACTGTATGATTACTGTGAATAAACCGCCAGTGATTGATATCACTTTCCATCGTAACAGGACACTTGATAAGAGTATAGATATCATTGTTGGGAGGTTATCCCTGACGTTATCAGTACCATTCGTTGAGAAACTCGCTTTGTTCATCATAGAATGCCTGCCAAAAGAAGGAGAAGTTTATGGAGTGGTTAATTTAGGTTATGTTGATATGGACCAACAAATCAGACAAGATTTAGACGATATTCTTCCTTGTAAGAAACCCGCAAGGAAGAGCCTCACCATTGCATTGAGGGTTAATAAACCTGAGTTTATTTTCTTGGTGGAAGGAGCCGCGGGGAAACGAAGAGCTTTTGTTACAAAATCTGAGATTTTATCGGATTATTCAAGGCATGCACAGAGGGAGAATTTTGTGTTGTCGTTATCTGGGTTGCATACATTATACTCATCACAGGATGGACATGATTTATATACGATTCTGAAACAGTGTGATGTAGAATTATCCAAGGCTTTGACCCCTGAGAAAGGGGAGAAGTTATCTTTGAGTGTCTCATCACTTTATCTTCAGTTTTCGAATAAAGTGGTTTATGCAATTAACGATGTCCTGAATGACATTGTGGAACACTTTAAGGTTCCAGAGATGCCTGAATCAACTGGGGCGAAACCAGAAACAAATTTAGAAGATTTATGGGAACCTAAGAAAGTTGTTTTGAATTATCCCACGTCAGATGACCTGCATGATACCCAAATGGGTAACTTTTTCTTTGCGCAAAAGAGAAGGTGTTCCCAAATTCATAATCATCAAGTATTCCTACTTCCGAAAACTGAATTGATTGTTCTCTTTGAGTTGGAGACTTTACCAGTGCTGGTTTTTAAATCCACCTTGGAGGTTACCATCAGTGATTGGTCCTTTTTGTTGAATGCAAATTGTGACTTCACTTTGCAAGCGAATTATTTCAATGCTGGTAAACAAAAATGGGAGCCGTTTATTGATCCAATTGTTTTGGAAGAGAGGGTTTATAAACCTTTTGAGGTTAATGTGAAGGTATTCCAAGATAAGGCACAGGAGATTGCTCAGTGTAAAGGCATCAAACCCCAGATGAGCAAAAACGGAAGGCCTAGTATCACCAAAGGAGGTAGACCTAAACGTGGTAGTGATGATTCTAAGAGTACCGATGAAGAAGAAGATGAAAGTGGGGATGATATGGTATACCTGGAACCTACGAATTCTTTCCATGGGAGGAATAGTCGAAGGGTCAAAACAAGTCTTTCTACATTCCTTGATGATAGTGACTCAGAAAATGATGATGGGAGCATGGAGAAACTAGCTGCAGCGATCTCAGATTTATTTACAGGGTAATCAGAAAGATCTTATAATATTACTTAAGTCAATTAATATTAATCAATGTTATTTCTTCAGGGATTGGAATGAAAGTGATGGTAGCGAAGTAGAAAACTCCACAGACTCAGACCCTGATGAACCAGATGCAGAAGACCTGAAGGAACCTTTTGAACCTTCAAATATCAACATGTCAAAACCTTTCAGGAAGTCCTTATACCTTCTAATTGATTGTAAAGACACTTTTAACCTCACAATCACCCCAGCTTTGATCAAAACACTCACAGATTTGGTCACTTTGTATTCTAACAAAACACTATCAATAGCACCTTCAGATAACTCACAATCCATTAATCTGATTAATGACATCGGTCCCAAATCAAAAGTGGAGATATTCGAGAAAGAACACTTGGGTACACCTGCTTCCAGGATCAGCGAAAGCGATTGTAGATTATTAATCAGTAAAACTTACGAAAAAGAAGATTCCTGTCCGAATTCACCTACAAAAGAAGGTTTAAACTCCTTAATCAGTGATATTGATGGAGAAAATGAAGATGATTACGAAACCAAACACCTGGGTCTCACAGATGAAGAACTCAACTATGACTTTGATACTGTAAACAGTCTAGACTTCAATATTGAAAGTACAACTGAATTGTATGAGAAAATCAACAGATATCAAATGAAAATCTACATCCCACACTTTTATGGTCTTCAGACATCTTGCCCAAGGAAAGATGCACAGAAATTACTACGTTTACACCCATGTCAGGTATCTACAACCATTTATTACCTGGCATTTAGAAGTGCTATCAACAAACATGGAATGTCCATCATGTTGAGTTCTCCTTTATCTATCCGGAATGAAACCTGTTTTGCTTTGTCAATTCTGTATCAACCTTCGGTTCTACAACAACTTAACCTAGAACCTGTGGGAGATGTGACAAACCCTTTTGAGACAACAATGAGAATCGCTGTTTTGGAACCTCATGAAACCTACAACGTCCCTATTCATATCGCTTATCATTGTAAGTTGTTTGTACAACCCGCATATGCTGAAGGTCAATATGTACCATCACAGAAAGGTATCTGGTGGAAGGATTTGGCTACAGATTTAGATTCTGGGAAGTTATTCACCTGTCAAGCGAAGAATACAGAAGATGTTTTTGCTTTACGAGTAGTCTTAGAAAAAACCTGGAGGTGGAAACTTTGAAGCATACAGTACCAAATTACATCATCAGGTTGTTACCTGCAATGGTCATCAGGAACTTTTTACCTTATGCTATCACTGTGGATGTTATAAATCCCCAGGGTCAAGAGATAAGCTCAACTTCAGAAAAATTGGTTCTGAATTCTGTAAAAATTGAACCAGGCGAAAAGAATTCCTACTATAACCTAGACACTGATAAAGATAACAGGATAACTTTCAGGTTACAGACCTTCCAACATAATTACACTGGGCATTTAACCCTGACACCTCACATGGATGAAAAAGTAATCGCTCTGGTGACAGACTCAGAAAAATCAGATTTGAATAATCTCCCATTAAATATCAAAGCAGAACGTGAAGATTACTACGAATTATTATTATTCACATCTTATTGGATTATAAATAAGACTCAGTTGTCTGTACAACTCAAAGCGACATCTACCAATACAATATACAGAAGTAATCCATCCCTGTTAGCGAATGAAGATATTATCCTCTTCAGTTTTAAAAGACACACACGTCAAACTCTAAAATTAAAAGTTTACGACTCAGAATTCTCCAATGAGTTTGGTTTGGATTGTCCAGGGACAACTGGTTTGGTTGTTTGTAAAGATGTGGTGCGTAAGAAACGCTACGCCATTTTGTTGAAGATAACACTATCAGAAATGTGTCCCATGACGAAGATTGTTACATTATTACCGTGTTTCATGGTTAGTAATCAAACAAGTAAAAAGTTACGGTTTATGGAACACAATGAAAAGACAGATCTGTGGATTGACCTTCTCCAAGGTCAAGAGATCCCATTCTGGCCAGAGACTACTTCGTATCAGATGTATGTTAAACTACAAGAGCAAAAAGTGGGCAGTTCACAGGGATTCTTCTTCGCACAAAGGCATAAAACACTTCTGAAGTTGAATTTACCAGGGGTGATATCCGCCATGACAGTTACAGTCACCGGAGGGATTGATGGACCCTTCAAGGTGACCTTTACTGATTACAAAGCAGGGGATGCTCCGCTTTTGATTAAGAACATGTGTCAGGAGTTGTTTTTGAAGATACAACAACAGAATCTAACACAGGTTACACTTCTAAGTCCCCAGAATGAGATTTTGTATACCTGGGATGACCCTTTGAAGAACAGACTACTGGTTTGGAATATTTACAATAACAAAGCATCTAATGGTTTTATCTTAGACGTAGAAAGGTCCCTACTAATGGAGAGGTATCAATATGGTCAAGAAAGGATCAATTTTGGTAATGCTCCTAATACAGTATCATCTAGTGATGATTCAGACTCAGATTCTATATCTGAAAGTAAAACATCTTCTAAGAAATCCAAAGAGAAACCTAAGGATAGATTGATCATCTTCTGGGTGATATATTCTGAAGTTGAGACCAATCAGAGAATATTATTATTCACACAGGATTCTGTGTTGTTTGGTGAGACTCTTCAGAAGGTCTTCTCAGAAATAGTAAATTATGAGGTTTTGGTGAGTTTAAGTGGGGTTGGGATGTCCCTGTTTACCAATAAAGAAAAACACAGGCATAAGGAGCATCTGTACATGGGTTTGAATGATTGCCCTGCAACCTGGGAGGTCAATGTTGGTCACAAGTGGAAAACTTTGACTTTGGAGCTAGCATCTTGGATTGAAGATAAATACAGGTCCAATCAAAAGAGGTGTCAGTTGAAGGATTATGTTCACATTGATTTTGAGAAGATGTTCATGTTGAAACCCTTTTTTGCTGAGCTGAGGAGGAGTTACAGCCCTGCTGTTTATTGCCAAGTTAGGAAATCTCCGAATAATCTATATCTTAACCTTAAAATTCAAAATATACAGATTGATAATAAAACCCTGAAGAATCAGGAAGCTATTATTCTGAATCAACTTGGAGGGAGTTCAGATCTGAATATAAAAGATTCTCCATTTCTGGAAGTGTCCCTGTTAAGGTCTGGGATGATTGTAAAATCCATTGATTTGAAGGTTAAAGATTGCCAGGTGCATCTTCAGAGTCAACTTTTAGAAGACCTGAATTCTTTCTTCAAAAGTAAATCATCTTCCTATCAATTCCGGAAGGATATGGCAAGGATTCTCGGAAACAAAACCAAAAAATTAACCAAAATCAGAAACAACTTGTTGATTGAACAGATAAAGTGTTCATCAACCAGTATCCTTCTAAATGTACAATCATCTCATCTGGGATCTGCTGGTTCTAAGCTTGCGTCACCTTCTTCTATGACCAAATGTCAAGGTTATTTCTTCCCAGCGAATATGACCCCGTATATGCCATCAGAAGGAGTTAAACATCGTGTGATCAACCTAGAACTGACCCAGATCCAAGTTAAAACTATGACCCATATGGTTAAATTCATCTGGAACCATTTTAAGACCCAATTTCTGCAACAATATTACTCCCAAGTTTTGGGTCTTCAGGTCTTGGTGAACCCTTATGCTATTCAACAGACTATCAACCCACAAGTGACAGGACACATCCAAGATGTCTCCCAGAATTCAGGGAATCTGTTATATTCTCTAAGATGTCTCCTGGGACATGTCAACATGTCTTCAGCTGCTGTGGAGCAATGTGTTTTGGAAATGTTGAGTGGTCAACACAATTTCATAAGAAGACCCAATGTTTACCAGGGTATGACCATCAAGGGTTACCAAAAATCATCAATTGGAGTTTGAGGCATTTTAACCCAGGAGTGATTCTGGCCTTGAACCAAATAATTGCATCCAAAGGTGGGCAGAATGGTAATGGTAACGGACAATCTGATGGGGAGCTGTTCTTCAGGGGAACTGGTAAAGCTCTGGTGTCTTTGTTAACCAGACATCCGGATGATAAGAGTAACAGTGTACATGTAGCCATGGAGGCCCTAAAAAGGGCTTCTTTGTTAGGGGAACCCATTAGGTGTCACCAGAGGTTGACTAGGTATGGAAACCGGTATTTGGGGTTAGGACCTTTTAGTATCTATGAATCCATGGGTTGTCATCTGTTGGAAACTGTTGCTGGAGGCAGGTTTAAGGAGGATTCATACTGGACCCATTCGGGGATTGATAAAACAGGAAGATCTATCGTCATAGTGACTTTAGAGTAAGTAAAATGACTTCCTAAAGTGATTTTTATTAATTTTGAGGTTATTTTTATAGACATGTGTTGAGGGTAAACAAATGTCGACTTTGGGGACCATGGGAACTCGAATGGTCTTTGGATCTTGACGAAATCATCTCTGTACCAAAGGTGACCAACTCTAAACTTGTTTTTAACATCCGCCATGAGGTAATATATAAAAATTACAGGAATCTGTAATATTTATTAACATAACCTTAATTTTTTCAGAGTGACAGACATAAAGATGATGACCTTGCAGCGAATAACGACGGAAAGTTGATTATCGATGGTGAAGAAGAGACTTTGATATTCCTCCAAGTGAAAATTGAACAGGCAATTGTTGTAAGCATGGAGGATAAAGCATGGACGATGAATTAATGTGTTTAGGCCACGCCCAATCAAATTGATGTCAAAAATGTCAAATTGTTGTTAACCCCAGAAGAAAATCAAAAACAAAATGATACCACATCCAGGAATTGATGTTAACACACACACTGACTCAATAAAAACCAAGAAAATTAAAAATTAAAGGAAAACGAGATAAATGTTAGAAACAAAGACTTAAACTAATTAAGCAAAACCTAAGTAAATATAAATATGAATAAATAATATGAAAATATGAAAATATTGAATCTATGTACATAATATAACAAATAAAAATATATCAATATAGTATATTAAGTATCAAGTGGTTTAATGGGGACTTTACTCACGAGATTGATTAAGTTTAAGCAATCGAGTGTTTAATAACGTTTAGCCACGTGATGCTTACGATATTTTTTATACTTTTACTTTAGTTTTGAGGTTTGAGTCACGTCGCATGGCATTTCATACGGTTTTGTGCTGCTCTGTAGGTAAATGCGCAGGCGCAAGCTCCGTCCCGTAGATAATACCCGTAGATAATGGATATTACTCACGGCTTGGCTGTCCGTATATAAAGTACCACTTTTTGAGTTTAAAGCTTTATAAATAAAAATAAAAATTAAAATTTTAAATTTTTGGAGCTTTTTAAGCGCCATTTTGATTTTTTGTACAAAAAACGTTTATTTATTACAAAATATCCTAAATTTTTGGTAACAAACAAACTTACACTATCTAATAGTAATAATTGGTATATAATCGGTAACTATCAGTAAATATTATCATTACAGTTCCCAAAAAGAACTTTATCCATAGATATTTTTAATAACAATAACAGAAAACTTTCAAAATTTCTAAATCGTGTTTTGAAATACTTTGTAGCAATTTCAGCATAAATTATACAATAAATATTTAAGAGTTAAGAGTAAACGTATCACGAGTAATGTTTTTGTTGCAATTATTTTGATAACATTCGAAATAATTCGTAAACAAATAATTTTTTTCAAAATTAATTTACATAGAAGCAGCTGATCCGTTATTCGAACATGATTCCACCATGATTTTATTAGTTTTCTTGAACAATTCTTCATCCGAACTGTTTTCGATGCTTTCCTGCAGTTGTGAGTTTCCGGTTTCCGGTAACAGTAACACAATAGACCCTCCTACCAAACCGGAAACTCCTAGGATAGACATAGGTACACATTCATGAAACATCGCCTGTAACAAAAAAAACAAAATTTTAGGTTAATTTTACTTGAAATGTAAAATTTTGAGGTTATGACAACTTACCATATCCCACAAGTAAGGAACAAGCATCAAAGCTATACCAGCAGGTACATTATTAGCCCCCACTCCAATATTCCGTATTTTCGTCGGGTATAACTCAGCTGTAAACACTGGCATAATCGAATTCGACGCAGCAATTAAAAATTTCCCACTCATAGCAAAACTGGTGATCAACCACTGCGCGTTATTCAAAACATACGGAACCGGAATAATCATCAGACAGAAACACCCAGAGAAGAAAACAGTGAGTGCCAGCGGCCATCTTCTTCCCATTTTCAACAAGATGGCGATACTTATCGCCAACGCAGGTACTTCAACCAATCCACTCAACGCAGATGCTAAATATAGATCACCACCAATGTTTCCAAGGTTTAAGGTTATGCCATAGTAGATAAAATAAACAGAAAACCAAATAACGAATAAACAAAGTGTGATTTTGCGTAGTTTTGGTGTTTTGAAAAGATCCATCACTCCCATTGTTTCATTATTGATAGAATTCGATGTAGGTAATAATTGTTTATCAATATTAGCAGGTAATTTTCGATTGTTAAACTTTGCGGCTGTTTCGAGGATTTTCAGGACTTCTGCAGTGCGACCCATTGCTAATAACCAACGTGGAGATTCAGGAACAAACCACCTGATAGATAATAAATAAGGTTATGTTTGAATTTTAGAGGTTATGTTGTAAATACTTACCAATAACTCAAAATCAACGCTCCTGGCAATGAAATAGCCAACTGCAACGTGCGCCAATCACGAATAAAATACGCAATTGCAGAAATAAGCCCAAAACTAATCGAAGTTGGGAATAAGTAGGAAATACCAGCGACAGTCCGCCATACTCCACCAACAAGTTCAATACTCAATACAAATCCACTGAAAACCACCGAAACCGATACAAAACCCAAAATTGCTCTCAGAAACAAATACATCTCAAACCAAGGATTGAATGCAATTATAACCCCCAAAATGGTTTGTATTGCTACAGAACCCAGAAGGGTTTTCTTGCGTCCATAACGATCTGAGATGATTCCACTCACAAGACCACCAACAGCCACACCTCCAAGGAAAACCATTTCCGCTATGCTTATGAGATTGGCTTTGGAGCATAACAATCCATATTCGGTGATTAATGTACTACCTGGAAAATATTAAAAATTTAAGGTTAGATATGTGTATAGTCAACTTCCGGCAGCCATTTTGTTGATGTGAGATATTATAGCGATGTAAAGTGCTATAAAGTGCCGACCGAATTTACGAGCGCCATTTATCATCAATCATCGTCGAGAAGCATTTATCAAATCGACGCGCAGCGAGAAAACTTCTCCTCTGCGAGACAATGATTGAAACAATTAACTTCCGGTGCGCTCGCGGTTATGTACCCATGTAGATTAATATTATTCATCGTACAGTTCAGTAAAACATTCAAATATTGCACTTGGAAACACATAAAATGAATTTTTATATTTTTAGGTTATGTTTACCTTCTCCATCGAATTCCCACGTGGTGCAATCAATGTATTTTGCATCTACAGCTACTTGTAGTTCGCCATCTTGTAATTTCAGGTCTTGTTCCCTGATTACTTTGCAGTAATCGTTGGGTTTTTGTGTTTTTTGCCGCCATTGTAACGGATCTACTTCCGTGAAGTTGGCAGGCCTGGCACACCATGTGTCCAGTGCGCGTGCGTGGAATGTCGGCACGAATATATGAAACGTTGATGGGATATTGCAGAAAGCAAGTAGTAAGGTTAATATGAACTGCCAGCGGCCATAATCGCCAATTGCCTGTGAGATTATCATGTTTTCTGGAATAAAACATAAATTCGGTTATATATTAATTGATTGGTGATAACTTAGTAGGTCAATATCATGTTTTATTACAATTACAAAACGGTTCATATTCCAATCATACATAAACACTGAAATTGTGTTTGACGCAAATCGTGCGCATCCAAAGTTTCATTTTTTGTTTTATTCGTTGAGTTATCATGGATGACAGTTAATATGGCGCCGATGACTTTAGTTTAACCTCGAATTGAGATAACTTTGTGTATTGTGCCGCAAGTGTGAATTAATTCATTAATTTTGTTATCTCTCAATGAAATGTTTATTATAAATAAACATAAATTTATGTGGTTTAAAGAGACATCTAGTGGGGTGTTAAGATAGTTTACAATTGCATTGACATTGAGTGTTGGATACAAGGCGAAATAAATGGAGTTAATTATAAAGAAATTAATGAAGGTGCGAAAGTGAAGAGCTGGAATTCGTATGTGGAAGTGTCGAGAGTGAAAAATTTAAAAATTAGAGTCAAGGACTGTTGTAATCGCGGATTTGCAGTTTTATGTTTCATGTTTAATGTTTTGCTATTAACGCAGTAAATTCTAATTACGTTCATACTGAGCGAAATCAATCAGTGATTTATGATTAATGAGTATGCTATAAACTATTTGATATATTTATACATTGTGTTTTTACTTTTGTTGGTTATAAATTATATGTAGGCAACTTGTATGACGTTTAAATGTGTATGTGTGGTTGCCTGTAGTGTTTAGAAAATAAAAATTGCGTTTGTTTGTTTTATTTATGTTTTTAACTTAGAATAAATGCAAAATAGTAAATAATAGTAATAATTAATTATTTTACACATAAATTATCATAAACTAGCGTTAACCCGCGGCTTCGCTCGCGAATATCTAAAATAATGAAGTTGCTTCCGTACGCGTCTGTAGTCACAGAAGAAGTAACAATGAAGTAGAATGGCGGGAAGTTTAAAATGGCTGAAAGTATAGTCTATGGAAGTATAGTGTACAGTCTCCATAGTGCAGTCAATTGGATTTGATGTTGACGTAGCTGTCGGTAATACAGTGTGATGGTACTATAGTACTTAGGTTTGAGCTTCATTGCTGGAATGCTAGATGGCGTTAAAGTAGTCAAATAGCCAGATGCAGAAGTATTATTGGCTAAACAATTTCTTTATTTTATTTAAAAAATCATTTTTTATTAAATAAAAAGTAGCCTATAACCATTCGGGGATCACTAAGAATATGTGTACAAATTTTCATGATGATCGGTTAAGTAGTTTTTGTGTGAAAGTGTAACAAACATCAGGACTTTCGCATTTATAATATTAGTAGGGATGTAGGCAACTTGTATGACGTTTAAATGTGTATGTGTGGTTGCCTATAGTGTTTAGGTTACCAAATTTACGTTTTTAATGTTTTTATTTATGTTTTTGACTTTTAATTACTACAAAATAGTAAAAAATAGTAACAATTAATAATTTTATACTTAAATAATCATAAATAATATAACTATAAACAAAATATGAACTTGAAAAGTGATTTTAAAAAGTTTTTCGTTTTTATTGTTTAATTTAAATTATTTCATTGCAATTCAAGTCAAATAAATTTGTTTATGACATTGGGACGAGTGTCCATCAAAAATCGTCTTCTCGGAATAATAAAACGCGCTCATAATAATTATTTGTTTCAATAACATCAAACTCGTGTTAATCAATTACGTCCATGATTGTTTTTTGTTTACTCCGTTTAAGCTTTAAACTAATTATTAATATGCGTAATTGTAGTCAATATTATATCTTAATTAACACTTTCTTCCAAAGTTTAAGTATAAGTATTTGTTCAGTGATTATTCACAATAATAAAAAGAAGGCGTAAATAAATTAAATTAATGATTTAGTCAATGATTTGAGTGACATTTATGACACTTCTGACACAAATTTCATCCTCGCACTTCGCACTTCACGACAATGATAGTATACTCGTATTATAAACAAGTGTGTATAATATTTGTTTATTTTGTGCTTGTGTTGGTGGGCTTGTGTTTGTACTGAGAACTGATTAAGAGTTTAACGGATTTAAACACGAATTAAACGAATTAAGTTGATTGTAGTTTATGATGCGGTTTGTGTCATTATTCACACATTGAATTAATACATTGTGGTCTTTATTTAACGACAAATTTTGTATAACAGCGAAATTTGTAGAAATTAGTTACCAAATTGCATTATTAGTCCTATGTTCGGTATGTATACCGTAAGTCCAACATTGGATTATAAAATTTAATACAGTATACGAGTAGCTTCGATTTAACGAAAAACTTGGTGTTACGGTGAAATTTATAGAAATTGGTTACCAAATTACATTATTAGTCCTATGTTCGGTGTGTATACCGCAAGTCCAACATTGGACTACAAAACTTAATACATCGTACACAGCAAATGATTTAACAGACACCTGTACATGTAAAATCTTAATATTTGATTATTTTTTGTTCCTAGATGTCACAAATTTTAAAATAATGTATTTTATTATATTTTTTAATTAAATTAATGCAATTAAAATATTCTTTTGTTTATTAAGGTTATAATATTGATCAACCTGATAAAAATATAAATTGATCAAATGTTGATTATGTTGATATAGCGTGAATAATAATTACCGACATGAAATTATACACGCTCGTGGAACAATAATTAACGCAAGTTTTAAGTCAATACGACTTAAGGTAACTTACGAGTAAGTTAAGTAAAGTGTGTACTTGTATGATATGCAAGTAGTATTATGATATGCGTCATGCAAGAATCAATTACATTTTACAATTTTTATTGAAGACAATATGGTACACTTGAAGTACTCGTATATTATAAACAAAAGTCTTATAAAAATCGCACTTTTATAGCAGAGTGACATTGACTCATTTATTCGCTTGTAATTAGTTCATTAATGCACTGGCAGAGAATACGTGTCAATGAATTCAACTTGTACTGTTATTCTAATTATAACTCATTGAAATTGAAAAAATATTTAATAATTTCATTCATAAACGGTTTTTAAGTTTAAATACACAAATGAAATACTATACTTTATTCACTATTTTAATAAAATAGGTTAAAGTACAAAATTTTGTTTCAAAAATATTTTAATTTGTTTAATTAAATTGTTTCTATTGAGAATCGAACCTAATTCTATTTAATTACAGATCAGTTTGTAAAAAAGTTGCTAAAATTACAAAATATCCTGTCACATTTTTTTTTATTTTGCACAAATATAATTATTTAGTTATTGCATAAATTAGAGCAGCAAATTAAATGTTTCTATTTAAACTAAATTATTTTTGCATAATTTTGTTGAATTCAATCCATTAAATTTCTTTTAAATTGGTGTGCAGAAAAGAGTTACGCATTTGGTGAGCAGTGAGCAATCAATTGGTAACCGTTTTTGTTTAGCATTGCGTGATGAGATGAAGACATAGATTTCGTGATGTTTATTATTTCCTAATTCTTAATTTTGCTATAATTTAACAGAAATTTAAAGAATTTGCTCGAAAATATGTGGATTTTAGTACAATTTTAATGTCTGGACACGAAACAGTTAAATATTATTAATATTTTAATGTTTAAATAATTTTATATGTTTTTATTAATTTATTTAAACATTAAAACACATTTTCTTGCATTATTTTACAAAAAAATTAAGAAAGTAAGATAAAACTTCAATTTTTTGTCAAAATTTGAACTCTATCACTAAAATAAAACAAAATTAACATAATTTAACCTCAAAAGCACATTTTTAGAAGTTGAATAATAATTTTATTTGCAAATTTAATTTTTTTACTTCAAAAACTCAAAAAATTGCAAAATAATTTTTTTTTCAAATTTTCTTGCCACATTTTAATTTAAAAACAAATAATAAACAAATAAATTTACAATAATGAGTTACAAAATATTTACTTTTGAATGTGACACATTTGGCATTAGATTATTTAGATTTAGAAAGCGTTGCGATCGCGATTGCATCCAGCATTCAGCCTTCCATTTCTTATGTCGCCGGTTACCAACCTGTAATTCTGTAATAACTTTAATCAAAATGTCTCCGCAACTAAAACAGTAGCGACCAGCAACCAGCAGCGCCTTACTGAAGTTAAGTGTGGTTTACAAGTTGTAATTTTCTACGCGTGCGCGCCGCAACTCACTACGAGTACATGCGACCTATAAATCCAACACTGCGCACTGCGCTCACTACTTGCGACACTTTAAGTAATACCACTCACTAATACTTAAGTCTTTGAGTATTTCTTGGTTGCAGTTTCTGTTTCTACTTCTATTTCCTTTTTCTTTTGGAAATAATCATAAAACATCACATTATGAACATGCAATGTGTGTAATATTAAACACGAAATATTATTTTTATTATGATTATTATTGTGTGTATTATGTATTGAGAAATACGGAATAACATGCAATAAATAATAATGTATGTTGGTTTTGCTGACTGAAATTTGTTTGGCGTTTAAATTCAAATAGGAGTTAAATTATTTTAATGAGGCGCAAACTTTCAACACTTTTCTTCGCGTGTGATGAAAATTAATTCCATTTTATTGTGCAAGATACAAATTTAATAGAATGTGTGCTATAGATTGTGGAACATGCATTTGTGTAAAAGCGAAAGTTCATTCACCTATATCAACAAACTCGATGAAAATAAACAAATGTAGAGTTGGATATTTAATAAAAGATGAAATGTTTTTAGTTTTTTATTAATAACTCAATAACTATAAACAATAATGTAATGAATTTTTTAGGAGTTTATTAAGTATTAAATTGTTTATAAAATTGTAGAATATTTTGTTCATTGAGTTATTATTAACGAAGTTATAAGCAATTAAACTTTCATTTACTTTTTTAAAATTGGTTAAATTAAAATTGAAACAAATTGTGTTGTAACTTTTGATAAAATCGAGATATTTTTATAACTTTTATGTGATTATACTCAGAATTTAATAATAAATAGATTGGCAAAAGAATAAATCAGAAATATTGATTAGTTTCCGGGCAATTAAAGAAAATTAAAAAAGTTGTAAACTGCAACACTGCAAAAATTAGATAAATAGCAATTCATACAATTTGTGTTGTAACTTTTGATAAAAATAGAATATTTCTTATTATTTTATATGAAATTGTTCAGAATTTAATAATAAATAGATTTGTAAAAGAATAATTCAAAAATATTAATTAATTTCCGAGTAATTCACCAAAAATTCATAAGTTTCAAACTGCGGAACTATGTTTTACTAGAAATTGTAAAAAAAAGTTTAAATAAATATTAGATAACATTTAATACTGATGAATACGGATGAATAAATCAGGAAATTAAAGAAAACAAAGATAAATATAGAAAGTTATTGCATTTACGCATACATAATTCATGCGCAAATATAGTAAAACACAGAATTTGTGAATAAAATTCATTATTCAACACATGCATTATCTCAAAAAAAGCCACATAATTACCAAATTGTTATAACCTTGACTTCATAAACAAATTTTCTTTCTTTATATTTTTATTTTTGTTTTTATTTGTTTATGTGATTTGCTCTCCACTTAAAAAGTCTTTTGGATCAAGTTCAAACCGCAAGAAAAAGAAAATTTGTAAATTATAGCTTGCAAAATGAATTTACACTGTAGAATGAATATAAATAAAGGTTAGTTAGTCACTTAGTTAGTTAGTTAGTGTATAAAAGTAATCATAATTTATCCGGATAGTTCTTAGTTTAGTACGAGTACTTGACATGACAATCAAGAGTCAAGTACGTCAGGTACTTCAAGATTTCTTGAGTGTGTCTTGATTATCTTAACCTATCGACAGTTGTTATAGACGTTAAGTAAAGTTAACTTAAGTGAAGTAAAATAAAGTAGCTAATGTGATTTTAATTGATATCCTGAGAATAGAAAGAGAGATTATTGTAGATTAGTATTAATGCATTAATTATTATTTTTTAAATTTTAATTAAATTTCATTGAATTTGATTTATTAGAGAAAAGAATTTTGTTTCAAATAAATAATTACAAAATTAATATGTTTTAATGAGTAAATATTATTTTAAAACAGAAGTTTTATTTTATTTTGAATTATTTTGATGAATGTTTATTTGGTTGCCTAACTACTTGACATTTTGCATCGACGGAACAACGTGCGATGCAGTAGCGCGTAATATGGCAACACTGTTTCCAAACTAATTCAATTTAAATACAATTCATCTATAATTTTACTCATTTACCCAATTTACTTTATTTTTTATCATTTTTTTCACTATAATTACATTTTCTTTAAAATAAAGATTTATAACGACTTCAAAATAATATAAAAAGTTTAATTGTCATCCTTCCAAATTTCCCCTCATCTCAATTCTCATTTAACATTGAAAAACTCAAAATTTACCACCGCAAACACTACTTTTGGTAGCACACATTAAGTTTATTATATTATCCAACGATATTGCGAATATATGGAATGAATGTCAAGTACAAGTTGAGTGTTAAACGTTCCGAGTTTATTTGCAGTGTTTCAATGTCGCGTATTCACTTTTGCGCATTGCTAATGAGTTTCCGAGACAGTATACAACCGCAAACATCATATAATAATATAATTCACTTACACACCTACAAAAACCACGTCGCTTTTTGTTACTTTAAGTGTCGGATATAAAAATATCTCAATGTTTCCATGATGGAATCGGAAATTGACAAATTTTATCTTGAGTTCAATGAAATCTGAGAATTCGAAAAATACGAGTTAATAATAATCAAATATTGGGATTTTACGCGAATAGGAATCTAATTTATCTTTTGTTGCGTAGGTTATAAACTTAATTACTTAATTTTGTTGTCCAATGTTGGACTTGCGGTATACAAACCGAACATAGACCTAATAATGTAATTTAGTATCAAAATTGTACAAATTTCACGGTAATACCAAGTTTTTCGTTAAATCGAAGCTACACTGTATTAAATTTTGTAGTCCAATGTTGGACTTGCGGTATACTAACCGAACATAGGACTAATAATGTAATATTTATAAGTTTCATTTAAATTTCTTTAAGTTGTACACATTTTATCATTATATAAGTTTGTAGTTAATTCTTTTTCTACCAGATGGCGTAACATGCATGCATAACATTATATTTTCTAGTATAACCTAAAAAACGCGAAAACTTTTTCAATAACAGACTGATATTAATGATGTTTATGTTTTCTTCGTAAATAATCCGATAAAGAAAGGTAAAAAGGTGAACTTGCACCTTGCACTTGAACACTGTGTACAGAGCATGTACGTCATTATATAAGTGTGAGTGTGCACACACGTTCTGCTGACACAATCACAATCACACATGTTTAATGTTTGCAGATAATCGATAAAAAGTATTTCGAACATTCAACCGAACCTTACTGAAATACTTGGAAGCAGTTAACAACAATTTTATTACTTATCACATAAAATATTTTCGCCGAATATATATCAGTATTCACAAAAAAATAAATCTAGTTCATAACTTCAAAGATAAATTATATAAATATTGATATAAATTCAAATTTCTCTCAACTCTTATCAAAAAAGGTTAAAATTTACAATTCAAATAACACATTCTATATTTTTGAAATTTTTGAAAATTTTAGAAATAATATAGTGCTTAATATAGGTTATGTGCTATAAAAATGTGATAATTGGTTGATTTTATCGAGCGTTCTTCGAAAAAACTAAATCAACTGGCAACACGGTTGTCCTTAGTGATAATGAACTGAAAACTAATAACATATAACATATGTGTACTCGTACTACACTGTTCGTCCTTCATTTCATGTACTACGGCGTACGTCCTAGCTGCTATGTCCTTCGTCTAATGAGTCAAGTCTAGTCCTTTGAAAAATGATTACAAAATGTTTACCACAAAACGTTTATCAGCACGCCGGTTTGTCAAATCGATCTTATATAAAATAAATAACTGTCATTCATGTGATTAAAACTGTATTTTACACACTAGTATCAAAAGTACTTATTTTAAGCTTTGTCTTTTTAAAAATTTAAAAAATTTCATGAAAAACACGAAATTCATGTATTTTTAAATTTATATTGAAAGTTTTTAGTACTTCAAAGTGTACTTTTACACACTAGTGCAAAAATGACTAATTTTGAGTTCCTCTTTTCTAAAAACAATCAAAAATTGCATTTAAAACACGAAAATTATGTTTTCTTAAATTTATTTGGTAAATTCCTAATATGGAAAAGTGTACTTTTACACACTAGGGCAAAAAATACATGATTTATATCTCCAGCTACTAAAAACAATAAAAAATTGCATTTAACATGAAAAAACTTAATGTTTTCTTATTTTCCGTGTCGAAAACATGAATTTTACGCACTTTTTACACAATAATTTATCTAAAATTAATTTCCCTTGATTTTAATATAAATAAAACTAAATTATTTGATTTGTTATTACTATAAATGCAGTTTAAACAATCCCAATGCTAAATATGTATAAATATACACAACCCTTATTATTAGAACAACAAAAAATAGTGATTACCATCCACTAACATCAATTAAAGTGGTTAAACATTAAACAAAATAGAATAATAAACCAGTTCATGGGAAATTCAAGGATTCACGTTTTTCATGATAACAACAATCAAATAAATCAAATATGTATCAAGAGCACACTCACTAATCACAATCGACAACACCTGCATTTTGCAATAGATTATTGATAAGAAATTAAATTCTTAAAACAATTAATTCAAAATACACGTATACTGATAACAATTGTTCTAAATTTAGTAATATTAATTATAATAATATGAAAATAATATTACTTACATTTTTATTTAATAATTCTTATTGTTGATAATGCAGATAATGTTGATATTGTTGAGAGAAAGTCCAACCCACTTTTAAATTAATTAAGTCGCACGATTATCGCACCAAAAACAAAAAATAAAAAAATCAAACAATTTGCACTTTGATCTCTCCAACGGATTTCAATAAATCCGGTTTCTGCTTCAGTTTTAATTTCAGAGTTTAAATGTTTATTCATTCATTAACTTCAATTTTTATTAAGTACGATAGTATGTTGCTCATCTGTTATCACCAGACAATTTTCAGCAAATACTTTAATCACTTCTACACGTTTCTCGGATTTGTTACTACGTGTTGACTAAGAACATCATAAATTCTTATAATAATTTAATTTTTATATAATAAAATTTATTTATTTTAATTTTGGAAGAAATTTATGCGCGTTTTTATATTTTAATAATTTTTATAAATTTTTAAATTTTTTAAATTTTTTTCACTTAATCATTTTTTATTTTTTTTAAATGTATTAACTTCACTGTAAATATTTGGTGGATTTATTTATCAGGCCCGTTCGATGCGATTTCGTCGCGCGTTCTGTCGGCAGGCGCACTGATAGTAATACATTTATACTCCTGTATTTACTCCTTTCCTCGTTCCGCGACCACCGACAGACAGCTTACAACTCGCGAGTCGCGAGCCGCCAGTTGCGAGCCGCGCAATTGACTAAAAACTCGAACGCACTATTTTGCTTCATTCGAGCATACACAGCACACACGCACACACCCACATACACACAGAGACAGTAAATCATACTCATGCATGTCATATTTTGTGCTAATACTGCTAATTGTATCAAATACAAGTTGTATCATCAACAAAACTGTCTAATTTTACTGTTTAATTACAAACTGAGCACATGCAACGCCATCTGGGGCTAGTTTTTTAAAGGTGTAAGTTTTATAACCTTTAAAAGGGCTCAATAATGAAAATATTTAATAAAAATGTTTAAATTGTGATTTTGATCGAGTTTTATTGACAAATTCCAAATAAATGGCTCTGATATTGTTAGTTTTATCAAAATTATGTTGTAACACTAACAAACTGTAAAATAATACAATTTAATTACCCATGTGACACATGCAGCGCCACCTAGTGTCAGATTTCTAAACCTATAAGCTTTATAACCTTTAAAAGCGCTAAATAACGCAAACATTTAATAAAAATTATTAAAATACGACTAATAAGTTATATTTACGCATAATTTTGATGATAAATTAAATATAAACACAAAATATAACAAATGAAACCGTAAAATTCAAACATTTAAACAAAATATTAAATATTTTAATATTTTAATGTTTTTTGTCGATTTTCAATCAAAAAATATATTTAAACCCGTATATTAAACCCACATGATGATTTCCTCAATTCTTATCTCTTATCTTTTATCACCATTTAGTAATAAATGTTTATTTTGTATGATTGCGAACATTCTACAAGGTTATTACAAGTGGCACCATCTATAAAATAAAAATCAGCAATCGTTTTATTAACCTACCTGTATTCATACATTATACTCGTACTATAAAGCAAATATCGGAACATGGAATCAGACAGAAACATTACAGACAAAAGAAAACTGGTTGTAATTATCGTTTGATTTGACCAATGTGCAATCATATTAATTTGTCAGTCTGTGGTCAAACCATCACCGCAATCATTTCGATGATTGTGAGATTAATTATTTGTCATTATCGAGCATACTTAGCAACAATTGACATTGAGTCCGGCACTGGCTGGAGCAGTAAATGCAGTGAATGCGGCAGATGGCTGTAAAAGATTTCACTTTCAGAAGTCAGAAGATGCATAAATATGTGTTATATAATTTAAGTTATTATGGTTGCATAAGTTAAAAAAATATTTTTTGTTTTTTAGGTTTAAAATTTTATTTTTTTACTTTTTAAACCTTTTTTAATAATAAACCAGGATACAAAACAACCAAACAAAATTATTACTTTAGTGACCTCGTGACTAAAGTTGGTGATTAAAGTACTTTAGTCACGACTTTTGCGGTCCGTGTTTAAAATTCCACTTTAGATGTCCCAAAACTATGAAAAAACTGGCTCTTTAAAGGTAGACTTTAAAAAAATTGTTTTTTTATTTTTATTATCAAATTTTTTTGTTTTTTTCGTTTCAAAATTAAATTTTTATAATAAACCAGGATACAAAGCAATCATACAAAATGATTCTGTTGTTTATACAAGTGTTTTAAGTTGTTTATTTTAATTTGCACATTTCTACATTAACACCATTGCAATTACAATCAAAAGGATCTCCTGTACAATTTACGAAAAAAAATCTGTTTGTTTTTCTTACATCCAAGAAAATTTCCACTTATTGACACTTCATTGTCTTCAATTGGTAAATTGCACACCGAAAACCACAATGCTAACATATACAACACCAAATCAAGAAGATTTTCGAATTAAATCCTGAAGTGTCGACCGCAAACGCTTTTAGCGTTCACGACATCACGCTTTTCAACGAGCAATCGAACGTATTGGTACGTCACTCATGTCGCATACGAGTGCTAACGTATAATGTGTCTTAGAAAAAACCAAATAAAGTCGTGACCGTCGATTGATTTATATTTTTGCACAACTTGCGCACTGCTTAGCATAATCGCCGAGATCAGGAACAAGGAACTTACCGTATTCTTTGATGCTAGACGCCCGCAGACGGATTTATTTACGGATTGTATCAATCCGGACGATTTTAGAGATTAGTTCACGGGGATTTTTTAATGCAAATAATGAATGAGAGTCATTCATGAACGGGGATATTTATCAGGATGTGTATTGTGATTGAATACAAATAAAGTTTGTGAAATACACTTGTGATAAACGTGAATTACGGTTTTTTTATCAAAAATAAATAAATTTTGATATTTTTAGGAAGGGTATAAGTAGGCAACCAAGTATACATGTATTGAAATACTTAAAAGTTGCATAAATGAATTTATACACTTATAAACTGTTTTATTCTATTGAAAACTTTTAAAATGAATGTTTTTTCATTAATAATTGTTACTATTGTTGTTATTTCAACCATTTTACCAAAAAACTATTAAATTTTTGAAGAAAAACCAGAAAATTTTAATTTTTTAAATTTTTTTTTTTATTAATTCTGTTAAAAAAATTTTAAAATAAATGTTTTATCATTAATAATTGTTACTATTGTTGTTATTTCAACAATTTCACCAAAAAACTATTAAATTTTTGAAGAAAAACCAGAAAATTTTAATTTTTTTAATTTTTTTATTAATTCTGTTAAAAACTTTTAAAATTAATGTTTTATCATTAATAATTGTTGCTATTGTTGTTATTTCAACAATTTCACCAAAAAACAATTAAATTCTCAAAGAAAAAGTACAAAATTTTAATTTTTTTGAATTTACCTAAACAAAATTGATTTTTCTTTGAATTTTATGTTTTTTTTGCTAATAATCCAGTTGATATTAAACAATTCCAGTTATTTCTATTCGCATCCGATTCACTTCCTATTTCATGAACAGAATAATCAACTTCCACATACTTCAACTGCATCATTAACTACTAATTTCGAATACGAGTAATAAAACCTGTTTACAATGTCGAGTAGAGCATAAGTACAGTGCGCATACATTAATCAGCGATTAAACATTAGAGCATCATGATCAATGAAAAAAGCGTAGTCAATGATCAAAACGTTTTGTATTTCGTAATTAGCAGTAGATAGGTATATAAATATAAACAGAGAGGAATAATTCAAGATACAACCTTGTAACGACTAATACAATTTACTCACAGTGAATTTTAAATTTTAAAACAGAAAATCAAATAAAAAATTTAAAAAATTTAAATTTTACGATTTTTTTTATTTTTTCTAAATTTTAGCAAAAAAATTTAAATTTTTTAAAAATTTACTGTTTATATTTATTTAATAATAGTTTATTTATACTATTATGTTAATTTATATGTGTTTCTAATGTTATTGACACTAATATTGACATTGACACGAACATAAAACAACTTTTTGCAAATTTAACCCATACTTTAACTTCCACACACAAAAATATTACAAGTATGATAAATGATACTTGAGACTTATTAAATCTACCGGAAGTACGGAAGTAATACCCATTAACACCATAAGACCATACGGAAATAAGGAAGCAAAGTGAAAGATGTTTACGAAAGAAATGCGGAAATAAACTACAATAATATAAAGTTTACACTATGCAAATGTTATTTTTACTCTTACACTCATAGTAAAAGAAGTTATACTCATTTATAATTTTTACGCTGCACAGATTCTTGGTTTATCTTCACAAACATACATTAATGGTTCTGAACAGTTGCCATTATACCAGAAAACTTGTTTGTTTTCTGCGTTTGGCTGTAGATTGACACAGTGTTGAGCGTTGTTGGCATTATCAGGCTGTTCAGGGCCGTATTTGGAGTATTCTATGGGTTTACCATTGACCATCCAGACAAAGTCACCTTTTTTACCTAGATCAGTTGCAGAAATCCAAAGGGTTTCATTAGCTGCTCCTGGAATATCAAAAATTGCAAAAATTAAGCTCAAAATAATAAAAATTTAATAAAATTTAAAAAAAATCATGTTTCTATTTCCAGATTCAAAAAGTTCTTTTTTTTACGGTTTCTGGATATGAAAAGTAATAATTTCATCACGGTCGTGACTAAAGTACTTTAGCCACGGGATGGAACTCGCGCCTGCGCAAAGTTTTAAAATAAAAAGTTCAAATACAAAAACTAAACATGAAAATTCAGTACAAGTAAAAAAAAATACTTACCTGCACCACGCATTGCTTTCTTCACAGCTAATCCTTCTGTGCATGAATTGATTGTTGCCAATTGTCTTCCCCGTGATGCGCATGATTGATAAGCCCCATGCCAATTCAACTAAAAAAAATTAAAAATTATTTTTTGATAATTAAAAAAAAAATCTAATTTAATACTTTATCTTCTGAAATATAATAGTTTTTGCCTGCCGAAGCTGAACCAGCAATAATAGCAACAATAATCAATGTAAAACCCTTCATTTTTACTAGTTATGAACAAAATGAAGCAGGTTACAAACGTGTCAAAGTATTTATTGCAAATGGCAGCTCTAGTTTTATTCATTTATGCGTAGTTTTTGTGAAAAATGATAAAAATGCAAAAATTTAACACGTCAATCTCATTTTTATCAAAAATAATTTGTAATTTCTACGCAGGTGAATAATAAATACAAAAATTGCAAATTTTGTCTACGATTCATTTTAAAATTATTTATTATTCTTATTTTTTTAAACTTTAACTCAATAATAATGTAATTATTTAACGTAGTAAACGTTTAACGTTAGCAAATGTTTAAATTATTGTTCTATACGCATCTAAAGTCCTTCAGATACTTCTCTATTCACTATTTCCTCAGTTTTATTGCTTTTATTGCATTTATTAGGTGTCTTTTGTTGCGTTTGCGTTGATAACCATTTCCATATTGTGCTGGTCGCTACTTAACATAACCTCTCACAATTTTATTGTCATTCTCGATACAAAACGATTGAATTAATTTAATCCTTGCGTAATATCATAATGGAGATATTATGCAAATTACACATCGCAATTGATTTATTATTCTTTGTAATTTTACGTGAAAAATTTTTATATTTTTATAGAAATCATTAAAAAATGAAATTTTTCTATTTAAAAATAGATGGCGTGGGGTTTCTAGAGTCATGCTTAAGGTAAAACCCAGATTATATATTATAAACCAAATCGATTGTCAAATCATTGTTTATCTTTACATTTACGCCGCAAAACTTGACATAAATACTAACAATTAAACAATAAGCACGTTCTGCTATGAATATACGCAGAATTTCTTTATTGTTGTCTGGAAAATGACTGTTTAGAGTATTTTTAGTTTGTTTTAGCGTGCAGTGTTGCCATATCATCTGTCAAACATGACTTCAACACCGTACAACTGTCAAATCATGTGTAATAATAGTACATTAAGCATCAAGTGGCTATACAGGACTTTAGTCACGAGATTGATTATGTTTAAACAATTGAGTGTTTAAAAACTTTTATTCACGTGATGCTTACGCTTGTTTTTTTCTACTTTCATTGAATTTCCACGTTGAGTTTTTGTATTTCAACTTTTTAATCAAATCCGTAAGCAAATACGCAGGCGCAAGCTGCATCCCGTAAATAATACCCGTAGATAATGAATATTACTCACGGCTTGGCGGTCCGAATATAAACTACCACTTTTTGTATCTAAAAACAATAGAAAAACAGACGTTTTATAGACAAAAGTAGAAAAACTAAATTAAAACATTATAAAACAATCAAATTCCTTGTAATATTTAACTTTATTGCGTTTTATCAATGTAAACACACAATAATAATATTATTGCAATTATTCTATGACTGTGATGATCTAATTTAATTATCTCTTGCGTTAGATCTCTTAAAAGTCAATGCCGATCGTCTGGTCAACAGATTTGCTTGCAAAGTGTCCTAATGTTTATTTCATTAGACATTATGCGCGTTCTGCGTTCTGCGCATTACACTATTGACGGAAATGCAGGCTGCTAACTGAAAAACAAAACACACATTCCGATATTATAGATTTCATGAGTTTTCACCATAAACAACTGCACAACTGCTTGAACGCTATAAATTAAATTTTATGCGCGAATAAAATGTTATAACAATGACTAGGACACGCCGACAAATATTACGGTGTTATGAATTAGAAAAAAACACAATAATTATGTGCTTCCGGTTGATTATTGTTGTTGTCGATGCAGAAGCATGAAATGTTTAGATAATATTAGATACGTGCGAGTATTTCAGATAAAATCGGTAAAAACAAATATTTACAGTCAATACATCGAACAAATTTGTTAAATTAGTAATTTCACCTTAAATCGACACTTGTTGTTTGAGTTATTAAATTAAACAAAGGATATGCATGTGTGGCGGCTCCTTGAGGAGGCGCGGTGCTGCCGGATGCGATTTTGAGCGCGTGCGCAAACTCCCATGTATTATAACCTTACATTTTCCAGTATTATGCATATGATGATAGAAAATTGAATATACATAATTCCAATTAGGCATGACATGACGACATGGTGTGCCGTTTATTGTTTTAGAAATTTAGGAGGTTAAAGCAGTCGATGCGTTGAATCAATACTGCAATCAATAACATATCTTGTTATCTTGTTAGCGTTTGCGTAGACTTATCACATTTTAACTCAAATCAGATTTAGTCATCAATGTGCTGTGGAACACGTCGGTCATGCGTGAATTCTCCCAAAATGGGACTAGTACCGTTAGTTTGCGTGTTATTCGTGGCAATATCGCCAATGTGAGTATTTACTATAGTCTGGAATCTATATATCACATTATCGCAAGATGTAGTTACATCAAACAACCAAAAATTAACCAAACAATAGAATTTTACGCAGATTAATATGTGTTATGTTCCGTTGTACTAAATTTTGTAGTCCAATGTTGGACTTGCCGTATGCATATCGAACATATGACTAATAATGTAATTTTATAACCAAATTGTAAAAATTTCGCCGTTTTAAGGAATTTATCGTCAAATCGAGTAATATTGAAACTAAATATTTATTATTTGGATGACATTATAATTTGTAGGTTATGACACCATAGCTACTTATAAATAACTCATTCTAACCTCATTTCAGCTATTGTGACACAGAGAATCCACGCTTATTAAAACTGTCATGTGATGGAAAACCACTCAAGTTATCAGAGTATCCAAGAGAGGTCAGCATCGAACGCACCACTACCGATACAGTTTTCAATTCGAAATCTTTAGAATCCCCTCTAATCCTCAATCAAAATGACATATTCAACATCAAGATCCACAACTGCACATTTAACAACCCGGATTATCTATATTTTAACTATAACTTCAAAGATTTCCGTAATCTGGATGTGCTGCACATCATCAACACATCGCTTGAAATGTTTGACTTCAATGTAATAGAAAATAACAAAGAATTACGAGAGTTATCATTGGCTGATAACAACAATTTGAGAGAGTTAATCAACGCAAATAGTGGTCGCATGATACAAACTTTAAAATTGACGAATACAAACCTGGAAATGAAAAAGTTTCTGGAGAATATTAGACCAATGCTTACAAATGGCAATTTAACCAACTTGGATATAAGTGGACAGAGTGGAAGTATTGAAAATGACGAAGTATGTAAGCTGTCTGAAAAACTCGAATGGTTTAATGGAGAAAAATGTATTGACATACGAAATATAACATCCAAAAGCATCATTGATATTGACATTGATAACGAATCGAACAAAATATTTTCATCAATATTTTTGATAACTGCTGTTATTTTGACGATCAAATATTTATGTACTTAAATTTAATTTAATGTTTTAACTGTATTTGGTAAATTTCCCGCTAAATTTTATTCGCTTATCAATTTTTACACTTTTTTCATATTTACTTATTGCTTATTCTTCATTTATCTAATGATAAACTGTACTTGTATGTTTTACTCGTATATTCGAAGATAAAAAATCATAATCCGTAAAATGTCAATTTTTTGTTTTGTGGACAATTATTTGACAATTTTATATTGTAGTTTTTGTATTCTGCGTTGTTTTTAAGGCGTTTAGCCACGGTAATGTGCTCCGCGAGTGTAATTTGCGAATTAACCACTTTGCGTGCTTTTTATTTCTATTTTACAAACTAAAAACGCACTTATTTCCACATTTGGCATCTGTTCGTCCAAATTTATCATGGAAAAATACTAAAATACACAAAATAAACACGATTAAAGTAAAATACGAGCATTTATATATAATTTTTTATCATAATTTAAGATTTAACGCTTAATTGTTATAATTCCAGGAATATTAGTTGACAAATATATGTTTGCAATATGAAATCATGCAACATGCACTTACAATTAGAAATACACATGATTCACATGTGTTAATATGAATTTACAACGGTAATTGTCATTTATTTTCAATATAAATATGATTTTAGTGAAAAATATAATAATTTGATGAATAATTTTCATTGTTATTCATTAATATTCATATTTTTGTTGGTTAAGTCTTTTTACAGTCTCTAGGCAACCAAAATCACATAAATATCACACGTATGTTAATTGATGTATTTTTGGTTGCCTATAGTTGTGACATCGTAAGAATAAATTATATATTTTTAGTTTTTTGTTCTGATAAAATATCAGATAATTTTACAATTACTATGTAAAAATATCATATCTATGAATAAATAATTCAAAATTTGCGAATTATGCATTACAAATTGTAAATTTGCTTGTATAAATAGACGCACAATGTACATTTTATCATTTTTATACATTTAGCACACTCAACAGTCACCATCATGAAGTTTTTCACTGTTTTAACATTGGCTGTACTTATGGTTGCCTGTGTTTCGGCGAAAAACTATACTATTATAACAACATCGGTAATAAACACTTCAAAACCTTTTAATCTTATTTCTAACTTTTATTTCGTTATTTTTCTCAGCTTAACTGGCATCTTGCCTTCCAAGACTGTGAATATCGTGGAATGCAACTAGCTACAATCGAATCCGAAGAAGAACTCAACGCTGTAGACGCAGCAAGCAAAGCAGCGGGTAAGTTGAATATTCCAAAACCAGGTGGCGTTAGTAATCAAATAATAATAACCTATTGTGATTATAGGCACTGCTAATGAAGCCATGTGGACTGCTGGGACGGATCTCGCCGAGGAAGCAAAATTTGTATGGATGAACACTGGCAAGGGTTTCACTTATGTACGTTGGGCTGCCAACCAACCCGACAACTGGAAGGATAATGAACACTGCATGCATTTGCGCAGAGATGGCGGGCAACTCGTCTTCAATGATGTGGACTGCCCAAGGAAAATGTATTACATTTGTGAAGATAAACCCATCAATTGTGATGAGTAAATATTAACAATAAATGCGTTTATTTGGTTTTTGTCTGTTTGTTACACTTTCCAGCAAAAACTACCGAACCGATTGCTATGAAATTTTGTACGTTTATTGTCAAGGGTATTGTGAAGGTCATAGAATAGTTTTTGTTAAATAATTGTTAATAGTTTTCCTTGGGGAGAAGAAAAACTGTCAAAATCAATTAAAAGATTGAAAAACATTTTTGGACAATAATTATGTCAATAAATTTGTCTATTTTAAAATAAATTTAATATTTTTTATTTTATTTACATAACCTCAATAATAATTATTGCTATTATATTGTTATTAACAAAATAACGTGTCTCTCCATAAATAAACAAATCCCAGATTTAATTTACTTCAAAACAACGCGAAAATCACAAGAAAAACAAAAAATTACTCAGCGGAAACACAAATTAAGTCCCACTTAACGCGGAGGAAATTGTTTAATAACTTTAATAACCAAACACATGTCAAAACATCACCCGGACAACAACAAAATGCTTGTTTTGTTTTTGCATCTTAATTTTTGTCAGGCGTGCAGCGTGTACGACATGCAATAGTATGTCATTTATAATTGAGGTTACGTCGGTGACGTCACAGCGGACATGTAATTTAGTCCAGGACGACAATGGCGCCATGAGTTATGGATGGTTAATTGATGCGACAACTGGTTAATTGTTAGTCACACCTCGTTATTTATTTATTCTTATGCGGGGTTACGTAAAGCCACTGCCGCTGCGAAACAGTTTGGACTCGTAAAAAATTAATAACGACACAGAAATAACAATTTCGGTGTGTGCGGATGTTCTAAATGCTCACATTAATCATTTTAACAATAGACTTTTATGTTTTTCCAGTTAGTTTGGTATGGAAGGATTTGTATGAGTGTTATTTGTGTGTAAAATTCGTTTTAAACAATTTTAAACAATTTTAAACAATTATTTTTGACAGGTTAGACATAGATGAGTAAGAGTTAAGTAATAACTGTTCAGATGGAATAGTTTATTATTTACTGTGAGAGTTTTTAACTAAATTTGATAATATTTGCTTTGTTATGATATAGGCAACTTGTTTTGGTTGAAGTGTAAGTAAGGTTGCATATAGTAAAACTAGATATTTAGTTTTTTGCTCTTTTAGAGGCAACGGAACATGGAAAAGCAAGTTTATAGCGTGTATACATTAATATAGCACAAACAGTTGCCTATAGTACAACTTAACATCAATAATAAAACTAATATTAAACAGTTTTATCGTTTTTTATTGTTTTAATTGCTTAAATATTCATTTTTTCGTAAAAAACACAAAATTTTGCGAATTTGGTTATTGTGTTATAGGCACCTTGTTTTACTTGTTCTGTAAGTAAAGTTGCATATAGTAAAACTAGAAATTTAGTTTTTTGTTCTTTTAGAGGCAACTCAACACGGAAAATCAAGTTTATGGCGTGTATAAATCAATATAGCATAAACAGTTGCCTATAACACAACTTAATATCAATATTAAAACTAATATTAAACAGTTTTAAGGTTTTTTATTGTTTTTATTGCTCCAATATTCATTTTTTCGTAAAAAACACAAAATTTTGCGAATTTGGTTATTGTGTTATAGGCACCTTGTTTTGCTTGTTATGTAAGTAAAGTTGCATATAGTGAATTCACAACTCAACCTATAAAATATAAAACTTATTGCTGTTCAAAGAGTTGCCTATAATACACCTAATATTAATTATTAAATTAATATTAAACAACTAGCTGTTGCCCGCGACTTCGTTCCGGCAGTGTTTAATAAAAATGTAATTCGTTTTTACTCCCTTGTTCTAGACATACTCGTAGTAAGAGTCAATTCTATCAATAAGATTAGCAATTTTAATTTAAATAAATTAATTATATAAAGTTTTGTCAATAATGCACTTCAGCGCGCCATCTCGAATTCAACTATTTAACTATAACTATGATTGAATTTCAATGTCAAATTTTATTCTATAGAAAAGAGCTGTTTTGAGGATTTTCCCGGCAATTATTCGAATTTTTCTCACCTTTTAAACCTTCCCTAGACCTCCACGAATAATTCAAGACCAAGATAACATAAATCCGTTCAGCCGTTCTCGAGTTTTAGCGAGACTAACAAACAGCAATTCATTTATATATATATATATATATAGATATATAGATTTCTATGTTTTTATAGCTTTTATTACTCAAATATTCATTTTTTCGTAAAAAAGCACAAAATTTAGTAAATTTATCTTATTGTGTTATAGGCAACTTGTTTTGCTTGCTCTGTAAGTAAAGTTTCATATAGTGAAATCACAACTCAACCTAAAATATACATAACTTATTGCTGTACAAACAGTTGCCTATAATAAAACATATTATGACTACAAAATCCTAATATTATCTAATTTTACATAAATAAATGAATTTAAAGCCTATAATTACACGCATCGATGCTTTCATTGATTTTATAACTCTAATATTCATTATGCACGTATAAAAAGCCCGTGATTTCATTTGTTTTCGCATTGGTAATCGTAACATTCGTAATTCGTCGTACGTCGGCATTAAGTTATACACACACGGAATAAATTTAACGCTCGACGACTGCGAGATGGCGAAAGATGCAGATGAGGGTGAAAGTTTGGCCTTTCTTTGTCGTCGAAGTCGTCGCCGTGTTCTCGGACAGCGGACAACTCAACGGACATCAACAATTGCACAAAACAAGAACATTTAAATAAACTGGAGCTTCCATATGAATAAAAACATGTTTTACACTTGAAAAAACAATCGCCATCTTGTATAAAATCAAAATAAAGCTGTTTTGCAAATATCTAGAGCATGTTGAACGTCTTTGTAATTAATTTCAAGAAATTTCAAGAGAAATTTGTTTTCTTTTTGCGTTTTGTGTAGAAAACAGTTTAATTTTGAAATTTTTAAAAATGGCGAGATTATTATAAAATGGCGGTTTTAAGATGTCAAAATAATGTCAAAATTATGTCAAAAGTGTAAAAGTTATAGTTTTATGTGTATTAATTAATATTGAGTGTTGGTTTTGATATCTTGAGTTCTTGTTCTTGGCTGTCGTGGCAAAGGAAGCCGTAGCAGGGTGTGGCGGTATAAAACGCGAGCTTCCCATCGGCAGTCGACCACTTCTTCGCACTACCGCGCTCACGCTGGTTTAAATTTAAAACAAAACACCACAAAACTGCAGATTTAGTGAAAGAAACTTCATCAAGACACAGTGCCAAGATGAGACTGAGTGGTATTACAATATTTACACTGGTAAGTTACAAATTTAGATTAAAACAATTAAATTTAATTTTTATGCAACCCAATATACACATATTTTGTATTTTAACATCAAAAACTCAAAAAATCTCATTTTTTGTGTTGAAATCAATAAAAATTTTAAAAAATCATACAAAAATTTAATTCTAAGAGTAATCTTGTGAATTATTGAATAATTTTATGTTATTCGAACGTAAAAATCAAGAAATCAAGATCAAAGTGAAAAGAAAGTTGAAAAACATAAAACAAAATGCAGCTAGCAACTAGATCACCTTGATTCGAATCAATCTCTCACCTTTCAATCGACTACATTCCATCTGGGTTGCATTTATTAATACCATACACAATTCACAATTAACAATTCCGCCATGACACTATTTTTACAAAAACGGTGAAAACACTTAAAAGTAAAGTAAAGTAATAAATCTTGTGATAAATCATGAATCACCAACCAACGCTGGTGATTAAGTTGATGTTCAAGTTAATTACACGTTTCATTTCCTCATTTTCTAACCAGACGCGTTTCTAATTCATGAAATTCGTTTCATTTACATTCATAAAGACGAAGATATATCTTCAGACGAGATTTATTCACGAAAATATTGTGTTGAAATGTTTAAATGTTAATATACTGTTAATTAATGTGTGTGCAAGTTCAACGTTCACATTACGTACTTGTATGCAACTTGTAGTGATTGCAGAACTTGCAGAAAGAAGAAAACTTGTGTAAATTATACGCGTAGCGCAACTGTTGTTTGATATTCATGTAGGTATCTTTGATTCTCGAGTTGCTGCTGGCTGCTTTTCTCATGAATGTCATTAACGTTGGCATTAGCATTCGCATTAATGTCAGAGAGATTAAAGTGGATTGATCACACATAAATCATTGACATACAAACTGCACTTTGATATTTTTAAATAGTTTTTAACGTCTTTTGACGTTTTTTGAGGTTAAAAGGTAAACCACTTAAAAAAATTGCTTTTTTGAGGTTAGAAGCTTAAAAACCTTAAAATTTTGCTGTTTTTGTTGATTTTATGCAATTTTATATTAATTTTAATAAATATTCATTCAAAACAATTTTGAAATTCAATTGTTTATTTGTTTATAAACGTTTTTCAGCGTGTTTGAGGTTAAAAGCTTAAAAACTTAAAATTTTGCTGTTTTTTGTTGGTTTTATGTAATTTTATGTAATTTTATATTCATTTTAACAAAAACACATGGAAAAATGTTTTGTAATTTAATTGTTTATTCGTATATAAACGTTTTTCACCGTTTTTTGAGGTTAGTAGCATGAAAACATGAACATTTTGCTGCTTTTTTTGATTTTAGGTAGTTTTTCATCAATTTTAGCTAATACATGTTGAAAAATGTTTTGTAATTCAATTGTTTATTTGTTTATAAACGTTTTTCGACGTTTTTTTGAGGATAAAAGCTTAAAAACCTAAAAATGTTGGGTTTTTTTTTAAATTTTCTATATTTTTTTATTAATTTCAACAGAAACACATTGAAAAATGTTTCATAATTCAATTGTTTATGTGTTTATTTGTTTATTATGTAAATAATTGTCTCGACCACAAGTGAAATTGTCGAAAGAATGCAAATTAAGTAATCTAACACAATTTCTTTTCATCCATATTATATTACAACATACATTTCACTTTTTTCTTATTATTATTGTTATTATATATTATTATTGGTTTAAATAGAATTTAATCCATTCCGATTGCTACTGTGCTTAACTTAAGTCTCTTATAAAGTTAAGTCGTATACTTGAAACAAAAACAGCAAACATGTTCGCGATTTACAGTTTACTGTAAGTCGTAAGTCGTAAGACAACTTTTTTCTTTCATAAGTAATTTCACTTAATGCGTCCACTCTACTTACACTTATTTAGGTTCGTGGAGGTTATGTAATCGCTTTGTCTGGTGCACGCACCTTTTCGGAGTGCTTTGCATATTTATATTCGCGCATACCTTTCGGTGGAATGTAGCAGTGTCAATATTTATGAGTTATTTATGAGTAGCTATTGTGTCATAACCTGCAAATTATAATGTCACCCAAATGACAAATATTTATTATCAAATAATTAATATCACTCAATTTAGTGATAAATGGTGAAATATGTTGAATTTGGTTATAAAATTACATTATTAGTCCTATGTTCGGTGTGTATACCGCAAGTCCAACATTGGACTACAAAATTTAATACAGCGTAGCCTCGATTTAACGAAAAACTCTGTATAACGACGAAATTTGTACGGTTTGATTGGTTTATATTAATTTCCTCGTTATAACGTTACAGTTTCTCTGTGTAACGACGAAAAATATTTTCATTTCTACCAATTATAACCTAGAATATTTTTTCAAAGACATGACATCGATGGTAACATTTGAAATATTGTTGTAATTATGATCCCAACATCCCTACAAATTGCAATGCAATATTTTATAACTTAAGCACGATTTTTCAGCTAATTTGTTGGGGTGCACGTTACGTTACAACAAAATCATTTAAACATAACACAAGTGAATACAACTGAGCGACGCGGAATTCATATTTAGACTTCAGGAAATATTTACCGGCATTTTTACTAAAATAATTGAGTTTATAACCTGCGCAACAAAAGATTAAACAGATGTCGCTACTGTAAAATCTAAATTTTTGGTTATGTTTTGTTTCTTAATGTAACGACACCTCAATATAACGTGATAAATATTTTTATTCACCGAAAGTTCTTCTGAGAAGTCAAACAACTTGAGTTTACTTTCGTTGCTGCTCCAGTTGTTCCACTTTCTTCTTGCTCGAAATATTTCACGTTCGTAACTCTGCTTCTTGCACCTCTCGATCACCACATTCGATTAAATTCAATTCGATACGTCTACATCACCTTCACCTACGAAAATTTCTCTTCTTATTTTAATTACACATCAACAAGTATATGCAACCAATATTACTTACTACATATTACTATTTTGAACAAAAACGTAACACAAGTATATTTTTTCTTTTTCAGTTCCTAGTGATATGTCTAACATCAGCATATCCACAATTTCCCCCACGGCTGCAAATCCCCGGTGCGGTATTCGTCGACGCCATTCCCCCTAAACAAGCGACACGTTCCCGCGCACGCGCACAAGCTCCCCCTCAGCAACAATCTTACATTCCGCATGAAGTGCGTCCTGTAAACGAAGAACCCGATGATATCCCATCACCCGTCCGTTACGTACCATCACCCGCAGCTATTCCAGTCCAACACCTCTTAGAAGTAGAACCTGAACAGTCAGATGAACGCGAACGTCCGCAACCACCATTCCGTCCCGAACGACCAATCGCAGCGCAGCGTCAGATTCAATACGTTCCGCAACCACAACAACAGCCGCAACAGCAACAAATCCGCCCGAAACAAAACTACGCGCCTGTAGAAATCGCCGTGCCACATCTACGCCGTCCAAATCCTCAACCAGCTCCACAACAACCACGTCCAGCTCAACAACCACGTCCTGTCAGTCGCCCCGCTCCTCAATACCTTGATGATGACTCCCATCGCACACGCAAACCTCCAGTGCAGATTCTGCGTAAATATCGCACAGATAACGCTGACGGAAGCATCACCTGGGGTTATGAGAACGAAGATGGTTCCTTCAAGGAGGAAACCATTGGTATTGATTGTATAACACGTGGAAAGTACGGTTATGTTGATCCAGATGGCGTTAAACGTGAATATTCATACGAAACAGGCGGTACTTGTGAGGAACCGGAAGAGGATCTCGAAGATCTCCCACCGGGTCAAGCTGCGCAGGCGCCGAAGGGTAAGAAGCCGCATTATAAGCCCCTGCCACAGTATGTTAACTAAGTGTTTGTAAACGTAGGTTATGTTAATGTATGTTTTGATTATGCCATTAATTATTTTAAATGATAAATAAATTTAATGCCAAAATGTGTAGAAATGTTTCATTACGACGTCAATGTTCATCATTACCTAACATAACCTTAAAATTAAGCGCAGAAATCTGTAATTTCTAAAGAAAAAGAAAATCAGAATCAATATGGCCGCTGTCGGTGATTGTTGTAGTTCTGCTGGAAACCTTTCCTCGGGCCGTTGTTCCAATGCTCTGGAGCTGATACAGAGATATCCATGTAGTCACCAATTGTAAATCGAGCTTGATTTAAGGTTTTGAGATCATCAGAACCTTTTTGTCCGGATGTAATGCTGCCGATTTCACGCATGCGGTATACAGGTGAGCGGCTGTCAGGGTAAACTAAACCAAATGATAGTTTGGTGCCTTTTCGGCGTGCGTCTGGGTTTACTTTCTTGACTAGTATTCCCAGCTCGCTGAGAGTGGCATCTCTCCATGTGTAGATTTGGAGTTCGTTTTCGGGAACGTTCCCTTTGCTGTATTCCATTGTTTTGTGGTGATATCCGTTTGTTGAGAGGAATACTCTCAAGAGAAATGGACAAACCTAGAGAAATTTAAGAGGAAAATCAATAATTGTGTGATTTTTGTTTTTGGAGATGAAAATTTAATTTTTTTGAGAGAGAAGTGGTGTATAACTTACTTTTTGACGGTCTACACCATCGTCTTTCTTTTCTTCAACGATTAATTCGACAGGATTTGTGCTAGCCATCGTATATTTTATTTTATTTGTGAATTTGAGGAGAATTTGTTTGCCGATTAGGTTAAAATGTGTTTACAAGCATAGAGTAGTCGAATATTATCGAATAAAAAGGGGAAGAGGGCGCCACCATCGGATAATTTATAATATTGAAAATATGCGCAAAACGTTTAAATTTTAATAACTAAACTATTATTATTATTTTTAAAATTACTACTAAACATATTCTTTATAATTATAAAAATGTTAATGTACTCTTACAGTTAAAACTTGTTTAAAAGCATAAAATAATCAAATATTACCGAAAGACAAGTGAATGAGGGCGCCACCATCGCATAATTCTTAATATCGTACAATGTGTGCAAAATGTTTAAAATTTAATATTTAAACTCTATATATCCTTTTCAAATTATTACTAAACACATTCTAAATAGCAATAAATATCTCAATATACTATTATACAAACAAAAACAATTTGAAACTCATCATAAACATAAAATGTGTCTTTGACATCTGCCCTTGAACAAACTGTATCATTAGTGTTACACCATCGGATGTAGCAGGAATAGATCATTACTACTTCTAAACCATTAAACCAAGCACAAAAACCGCTAAACATTTCGCCTCCTCTCACCTGACACTAAATACCTGTGTACATAATAACACAAACACTCTTTATTTTCCTCTTATCTCAATAAAAACAAGTGTTAAACATAAAATCAAAGCAGTTAAACAAATTTTATCGATTTCGAACAATCGACCGTTAATTCACCGCAAAATTCTACAATAATCAACAAAAATGTCCAAGTTAGAACCCCGTCTGAACATCGACGAGCCCCTATGGGACCAGAGCACGTTCGTGGGCCGTTTCAAGCACTTCATGTGGATGACCGACCCACGAAGTGGTCTTGTAAGTGAAGACACTTTAGACAACGCTAAAAAACTAGTCCTTGCCTATCGCAAAGGCCAAGAACCACCAGGTACCACCGGGAGGAAGTCATCTACGCGAAGAAACTCTACGAGAGTGCTTTCCACCCCGACAGCGGCGAGAAACAGAATGTTTTCGGCCGGATGTCTTTCCAAGTTCCCGGCGGAATGCTCATCACTGGAGCCATGCTGCAATGGTATCGGTAAGTTTATGTAATAACCAAATCCACACAGTTATACAACAGATATTGTTATAATAATTATCTGAGAGATGCAGTATGTTAATGTTGATATGCCAGATATGAATTGAATGTGTTTGATGTTAATTTTAGAACCAGCACGGCGGTTGTGTTTTGGCAGTGGGTGAATCAGTCGTTCAACGCGTTGGTTAATTACACGAATCGGAATGCAAACAGCCCGATCACCACCACACAGATGGGTGTAGCGTATGTTTCGGCTACGTCCAGTGCGATGATTACAGCTCTTGGGTGTAAAGCTTACTGGACGAAGAATGCCAGTCCTTTTATTCAAGTAATTGTTTGATTTTTTAGTGTTAAGTCGTTTGGCCGCGGATTTTTTCACCGTCGGAGGAAAAATTTAAGTTTTTAGATGATTTTAACGCGTAAATAAATAGATTTAGATTAAAATTAAACTTATTTATGTTAAATCAATCTTAAATAAGTTTAATTTTCTTTTAAATCTTTATTTTTATGTTAAAATGATCTAAAAACTTGAATTTTTCTTGCGGTAAATTGATTCCGCGGTGAAATGACGTTTAACCTAACTTTTAACTGTTTTTAAACTTAAAACTTACTTTTCCCTGTTTTTATTATAGAGATATGTGCCGTTTGCGGCTGTGGCTGCAGCTAACTGTGTAAACATCCCTCTGATGAGGCAGTCTGAGATTATCAACGGTATTGATGTGTATGATGAGAATAATACGGTGATTGGCCAGTCGAGATTTGCGGCTGTCAAGGGTATTACTCAGGTTATTACGTCGCGTATTACAATGTGCGCTCCGGGCATGATTATCCTGCCGATTATTATGGAAAAGTTGGAGAAGTTTAGCTGGATGCAGCGGATGACATATTTACATGCGCCTATGCAAGTTATGATGGTTGGATGCTTGTAAGTTGGAAGATTTTTGAATTTTGACAGAAAATTTGTTGAATTGGTGTAAATTTTGTTTGTTTTTTGTTTAGCTTGACTTTCATGGTTCCTACTGCTTGTGGATTGTTCCCACAGAACTGGTAAGTTGGTTAATTCAATAAAATATTGGTTAGGTATTGTCTAAAGTTAAAATTAACAAAATGGCGGCCTGTCAAAAGCGGAATTTACTTGTTTTTAAGAGTTTTTATTGATATCTTTATCAAAAATTAATATTATGACGTTATTTTTATTCTGGTGATGTTTAGAAACATATTAATGTGTTTTTTGTTACTTTTAGCATGTTAAAAACATCAACAATCAAATTCCTGGAACCTGAAGAATATCAGAAGATGAAAGACAAGTGGGGTGACAAATTGCCACAGTATGTCTTCTTCAACAAAGGTCTTTAAGTCATCTGCCATCCAATGAGGTGAAACCACAACGAATCTCCGACTGTGTGATTCGTTAGCATTAATTAGTCAATAAACGAAACGCGAATACGAATACAAACACAAACACGAGGCACGAACAGGTATTATAATTGTTACATTGTTAAAACCAAAAATATCATGTTATAATGCTGAATATTGAGGAATAATTCGATTTAATTCATTATAATTTGAATTATTTCTCAATGAAAGTCAAGTCAATGAGGCAAACGGTTGATATACTGGGTGTTTAACCCCATAGTGTCAGACAATACAGTAGTTAATAAGTGTAAGTATTAAATGTGTTGTTTTCCATTATCCCATTGCCATTTTGAAGCTTTGTTTTAATGCTTTGAACAAAAATATTGAAAAATTTTAGTTTTTAGAGTAGTGAACAAAGAAATATCATATAGAACCAAAGCAATGTATGAAATACTTTAAAGTATTGCAAATAATTTTGTTTTTAGTTCAAATTAATAATTTTATGAACAATAATGAACAAAAATGGGAGTAATAGTAAAAATGTAACAAAACGTGTGTATACTTAATTGTAATAATGTGCAATACTATGTTATTTGATTGTAATCTTGCCGAATGTAGCAAATATCAGGAAATATTACCGAAAAGTATGAAATTTTGACGTTATCGAATACTAATCATAAACAAATTTTGTTTTTTTCAGTGATTTTGTGAATTCTTCAGTGATTTCCGTTCGGGGAGATGTTGATAGGTGAGTTTTCAATCATTAATTAATACTTATAAACTAAAATATTGCTTTATTACATACCTGTTGATTTAATTCTTTCTTTTTGACAATGTTGAGTCGTTTTGTATAGTGTTTAAGTTGGAAACAACGCAGATAGCGCCCCCTATGTCAAAATGTAATACTAAAACAAACTAATTTTGTTCTTTCAGTGCTTTTGTCATTTTTTCGCCATTTTCGTTTGAGAAGCTGTTGATAGGTGAGTTTAATCATTCATAAATACTTATAAACTAACTGTTATGTTATTACATACGTGATAGTGCAATTAATCCTCTTTTGATAGTATTTAAGTTTGGAAACAACTCCCCCTATGCAAAAATATAACACTAAAACCAACAAATATTGTTTTTTTCAGTGAACAGGTGATTGTTACATTCGTGAACGAGTTCCAAGCAAAAAAAAGTAAAAAGGTGAGTGATTAGTATTTAAATTAATATGAATCTAGGTTATTATTGAATGAAACGTCTTACGCTACCAATTTCGGCCATATTTTTAAAAATTTAAGCTGAAACTTATTAAATTACGTCCGTTGCGTACAGAAATAATATAAGAAATGATATTTAGAAGTTGCAAACTAATTTCTTTAACCATTTATTAATGTGGACAAAAAATAGTATTACAAATTAACTTAGCTTAGGTTATTTCAAACATTTTCATCAACCTCAGGACTGATTTAATCCTTCTCTGCAATGGCAGTCAAATGTCTATCAACTTCTTGTTCATCCATCTTTCTAAACTTGGGATTATCCTTGGTAACCACACCAATCTCAATCTCAGTAGGCTTGAAGTCCATTGAGAGGACATTACTCAAGCAGCTAATTGCAAGTTGGATGACATCATCCTGAGAGAGGTCTTGTTTCTTCTTCAACATCTTCTCCAAGCAGCTATTGGCTTCAGTTTGCTTAGCGCCTACACTCACAGCCTTGTACCCACAGTAGTACCCAGCTGGGTCAGTTTTATACACACAAGGCCCATTCAAAGGGTCATACCCAATCAGCACCATTGAGCAGCCAAGCGGCCGCATCTCGGCATTCTGCGTATACACTTGTGAGACGTCAGCCACACGTCTGCACAATGCATCAATGGGCATCTCATAGCCGTATTTGTATTTGAATTGTGCGGCTTCGTAACGTGCGCGCTGCACTTGCGATTTGCTGTCGGCAATCATGCCGGTCATCACGCAACCGCTGTGCTCGGTGAGCTGGAAAAGATGCGTGATGGTACTTGCATCGATGAGCTTGTCGGGGATCTTGCGCTGGGTTACACAGACGGCGACGTCTTGGCCTTTGATGGCCACGGATGTGAGGCCGGCTTGGTTGATTGCTTTGAAAGCGTATTCCACTTGATATAGGCGGCCTTCTGGGGAGAAGATGGTGATGTGACGGTCGAAGCCTGCGCTGCTACCGCGAGACATCTTCGGATGTTGTTTAAATTGAGAGATAGAGGAAAAACTCGCAGAAAACAAACGGACTACTGATGAGTGAATCTGCGATACTTTAGGAGGTTATGATTCAAAAGTGTTTGTCATTTTGTCCTGCACAAAGTTCCGAGTCATTAGTAGTAGGGGTTGCCTATTAGCCTCTAGCGGATAAAATTTGAAACTTGATATACAAAGTGTTTCCAAACAAATTTTTGTTTTTATTTTTTAATATTTGGTACTTTTTGGATTTTTACAGTTATAACTTATAAATTACTTATTTGACATTATTTAGCGTATATTTAGCAAGTTTTTCTTGTTTAAATATTAGTAATATCAATTTTTTTAAATTATTATTACGAGTTAATATTTGGAACACTCAGTATAATTAAAATTGACACTAGCGCCAATTGTGGCGGCGTCAGGAACTAAAACCAAACAAATTTTATTTTGCGTTTGAAACTTTCTTTCTCTGTGTTACTTTCGTGTAAAACTTGTGGGAAAAACGTAATAGGTGAGTTAAATAATACCAATTAACTATTAGTCATGTTTTTATTACAAAATAGAATTATCATATATCTCGGGTGCGCTTACAATAAATACAGTCAAAGTTAATCATAGTTAATACAAGGCGCGTGCACCGCACGCACGCAGCATTCGTTTATTCGTTTACATATTATGCGCCTTCTGGAACTGTTCCATGAAGGTGACGAGCAGTTTCACATCATCAATGGACACAGCATTGTAGAGCGAGGCGCGCATGCCACCAACACTCCTGTGTCCCTTCAGCTGCTGCATCTGCACCTTTTCAGATTCGAGCAGGAATTTCTTCTCCAACTCCTCGTCGCCATTTGCACCGCCGACTCGGAAAGGTACATTCATGCGACTTCTGCAATTGGGCGCAATCGGTGACGCGTAGAATCCATTCGAGTTTTCAATCGCCTTGTATAACATCTCGGCTTTAATAATCGCCTGACGTTCCATTTCCTTTACACCTCCGGCTTTGTCGATCCATTCGAAGACTTTGTTCATGACATACACAGAGAAAGTGGCGGGGGTATTATGCACAGAGTTTTCCTTTGCGATGTTAGTGAAGTCAAAGACAGACGGGCAGATCTTCATCGGAGATCCCAGAGATCTTCACGGATGATTACGACTGTAACACCAGCAGGGCCGATGTTTTTCTGTGCGCCACCAAAGATAACTCCAAATTTAGAGACATCAATTTCTCTGGTCATGATTGAAGAAGACATGTCGGTGACAAGTGGAACACCAGTGGGTACCTCGGGGATGTCAAAGAATTCAACACCATCGACGGTTTCATTCGCGCAGTAGTACACGTAGGAAGCATCCGGGTTGAACTTCCAGGTGGATTTATCCGGGATGGTACCCAGCGGAGGTTTGGGGAAGACGAGATTAACTTCGCCGTATTTCGCGGCTTCCTTGGCGGCCTTACCGGACCAAGTACCGGTGATCATGTAATCAGCAGAACCAGTTCTGTTTAGCAGGTTTAAGGCCACAGCGGCGAATGCGCCAGTGCCTCCACCTTGCATGAACATGATTTTGTAGTTATCTGGTACTTTTCTGTAAGTCAAAACCGGAAATTAAATTTTTTTAAAGGCGGAAAGTGAATAAAAGTAAAACTTACAATAAATCACGGACGTATTTTTGTGCATCGTTGTTAATCTTGGTATATTCCGCTGATCTGTGGGACATTTCCATGATGCTGACGCCCATGCCATTGTAGCTTAAGAGTTCTGCTTGGACAGCTTCCAAAACCTAATAAACAAGAGATGTGATAAAATTGATTAGAATGCAAGTCATAGTGTCAGGGTCAATCATTTGCATCTCAGTACAATTACAATTACATTCAATCAACACTCGTATCGTATGATTCTTGGCCTTGAATTTACTTCATAAATTAAAATTGATTGAAAGAAAACTTACGGTTTTTGGAAGTTTGGCAGGGCCCGCTCCGAAGTTAAGAACATTGTTGCTGTTACCCATCTTGTATGGTAATGTAAAGTGCTTGAGTCTTGATTAATTAACAGACTGTTGGTTGGTTGTGTCGAGTTAACTCTTTCAAGCTAACGCTGTGAAGCACGCTCAGCGACTGGAGGACGAATGCGGTGTCTGGATGCCTTTTATACACGCGACCGGTTTCTTGTCGTTAGGCACGAGCTGACGTACGTAATTGTAGCGATCTGTTATTTAGCTGATAGTGATAGCTGGGTTGATAAGCGAGAGTAGACTGTTCACCGCGTGTTTGAGCTCTCAGTTTTTCAGAGTAATAAGTGAAGTTATTAATATTCTAGTGGTGGTGGTTGTTATCTCGCTGGTTGCTTGGTGATTATGGCTCGCACCGCTCGGAGTTTTCGTTTTATACGATTCGATTCGTAAACAAACCACGAACGAATTCGATTGTTTTGCTCGCGCGAAACCGGAGTGACGTCGGGAAGAGGTCAAATGACCTAACGGAGTATGGTGTGGATCGGGCCCTCGACGACGACAGCACTTGCTTTTGCTTTTGATCGGGTTTTCTTGGCTATGGTAACAGCACGAATAGGATAAATGTGACGTCGGGTGTTGCGCGTTTTATCGAAACTTAACTTGTTTTATCAAAATATGTGGATTGAAATGCGAAGCACTGCGGCAAACAAGTTGAGGGACAAACAAGATGATGTTTTGTTTGACCCAGTCGTGATATTCTACGTTTTATTTCATCATTTGTTTTGATTTTTTTTCAAGTTTTATGCGGCAAAGTTAAGTGAACTCGTCATTCGTCACTTGTTTGAGTTGCGATCTGAGCGTGTTGCGCACATTCCATGCGCACGAACATTATTTTCAATTGACAATTGAAAAATACTTTCATTTCGCCATGAGATATTCCGGACGTCAGTGAACTAATCATAATAATGATTGCGAAGATTGCACTGGGTTATTGTGTCAATTGACGGAATTGTTTGTTTTAATTAAAACACTTATAATTTCGTGTTTTTTTCTTTATCTTCATGAATAATACTTATAATTATAATGACAAAAAAGTAAACTGATAAGTAATGCGTTTTTGTTATGTTTCTTCTTTGTTCTCTGCTCTCTGCACTGTGATAATACTGTTTGTTTGCTTCAACTTCTGTTTTTATTGAGCGCATGAAATGCAACGCAGTTGTATGCATTGTTTATTTATCGCGCATTTGCAAGCGCTGTGCGCCTGAGTAGGAAATGTTCAATGAAAATTCTCAAATTGCGTTTCACTTTTAAAAGCATTCATTATTCATGAATTTATAAATATTTCAATAGTACATATTTCATGCAACAAATTGTTTATGATTATTTTATTTTTTTGTTGCAGTGGGTGTTCCAATGTTGATTCATTTTTGTTTAAAAGACAACCGCAATGCAGTTTACAAACAAACGTGAGTAGAATTTTTAAATATTTAATTTTCTGGAATTTTTTCTGTCGTTTTTTTGTTTTTAAAATTGAGATTTTTGTTTGTTGTCTTTGTGGCGTCATTCGCATCTCTTGTCTTCTGATTTCGTGCGTGTATGCGTTTATGAGACATTAAGTTGATGTAAATATCGTGCGATAACCCGCGATAATTACATCGAACCGAAAACCGACTTTAACTGGTTTCCAAGTGGGAATTGTTTGGATTGACCGAATTGGCGATTGATTTCTAGTTTAATTACAAATCGACGCGATGACACGCACAATCGGTGTTACCACAGAGAAGTTATTTCTTTTCGGGTGACTTATTGAGGTCTCCGGGTGGAATCCAAAGTTAACTGGTTTCAAGATACTTAATTAGGTTACAGATTCGAGATTTTAACGCGTAAAAAAGAAAAATTGCAGTTTTTAAGTAAAAAGCCATAAAACAAAAAATATTGATTTTACTTTTGGGATTTAATTTTTAAATTATGGATGATTAGGCATTCATACAGCAGGCTTTCACGCTTCGATTGTATGCAAATGATGAAATAATTAGTCTGGTTACGATCATGAGTAATCAATCCAAAGTTCAACATATTTAAGGTCTTCACAGCGCATTTTTCAAATATAAAAATCAATGCTTTACTATTGTGTAAATAAAATGAATTGTAGCCTTAAAACAAGTCATTTATCTATCAAGATAAGCAATAAATCATCAAAAACGGTAAATTACACAATAAACAAACTTGTTATTTAATTTTCGCTTGCACCTACAATAATTTTGTAAACTTGGCAAAACACCAAAACAAAAAATCCATTATTATGTCTTTCGGTGCAATTGTTTATAAATTACAACAGAAGTTATCGCCAATCTCACAGGTTAAATGATTAATACTGGCAAACAAAAGTGCCGGTCAACTTGCAAGTATGCGCACAGTAAACAAACAAGTTATGTATTATTTCGGTTGTTATCACTCCCGGGAGGCAATTACAATGTTTCACTCGTTCGAGTGAATTGTGTGAATAACATCAGGCCATCGCCAAATTCATTTGAAGTCATATTACCAAAACAACAGGGGCACGCTGACGTTGGCATACGAATAACGAGAGCAACAGAAAACAGCAGTCTTATCAAATTATCGCGTGTTTTACACAAATCTTTCCTTTTTGCTTAGCTAACCATGGGTACATTTCCACTGAATATAGTTTTACGTAATAGGAATTTGATGTAATAATAGCTTGATATGAGATCATTGCCTCCGCCAAATTGAATACTTTTTTTGTTGAGAATATTTTTGGACAAATACAACCCTTGTGTGCTACTCAGTGGAACCAAAGACTCTAAGAGTAGAGGGAGAAGGACGACCCTGGAAGGAACCCGCAAAAAGTGGTGGGGGAAGGAACTAGGTGCGCAGGCAAGGGATACCTGGGCCTGGGCTGTAAGTGCGCGCAACCTGTGCCTTTCTCTCTCCACTTACCTTTGGTCTTCACTTCGCGGACTACGCTCAACCAATCAGGTAGCTTGAATCTACCCCTACCACTTTTTGCGGGTTCGCCGCAGGTGTAAGAGGCAGCGTGCATCGCACACAGTCGCAGTTCTCTAGGTTCTTCTCTCTCCTCTCTTCGTTGGGTTAGTAGTCTCAGACGGATATTTCCGTTAGCAATTCTGTTTAGTAGTCGTTTATACTCAATAAGTAACAGTAAATAAGTAAAACACGAAAACAAGTTAATATAAAACGTGAGATGTAATTGTATCCAAAAAATACAGAATCATATAAAATAACTAGGTCTAAACCTCAATAAATATAAAAATTGAGTGACAATACTTGAAATTTACATTAAATTTAAAACATTTACTGATCGATAATATAATTCGGATGGACAACCAACAGCGGATCTTCTTCTTCATCAGTTTTCGCACTGCCTTTGAGCCCAACTTTACGCAGAGGAATAATAACATTATCCTGCAACATAAAATAAATAATTAATCATCTCAATCATCACACATCTTCAGTTAAAAATAACTTACAGTATAGATAAGTCTATCAATAACTTTCTCAACCAACTCCTTCTTCTCCAACAACTCATCCTCCGACTCAATCTGATCAGCAACCAAATTCAAATACCACTCCAACACGTCGCTCTTCCTCATCCCATCACTCTCGGACTCTTCACCGCGCGCTTCCTCCCTACGCATATGCACGATGATCATATTACTCAACGTTTTATACTCTTCATAACTCATCACAAGTTTCCTCTTGGTAGGACCTTCCTCCATGGGCACATCCTCGGGTTCATCATTGATCATAGCCGGCTCATCATCATCCAAATGAATATCAGGCTGTTCCACTCTGATAATACTTTTATTCAACAAACGGTAAGCTTCTTTTACGTGTTTCGGTTGAACTTCGTCAGAGATCTCCATTCGAGCCATCGCCTCAGCCAGGCGGATCATACTTTCAAGTTGTCGAACGGTGATTCTCCATGTGGACTTACCAGTTGCAGTTGTATCCCTCAATCGGAGATTATTGTAATGTCTAACGAGCAATTCAGCTGCTTCTTCATTAATGATCGGTTTAAACTTCCTGGCGAATGTGATATATTGCAGGACTTCTTCTTTAGAGTAAACTCTTTCAACGTTGTCTTCGATGTTACTGTGGAGGTCTACGATTTTACGCGCGATTGCATAATCGACAACTTCGTTACATTCATCAACCAGGATGAAAAACAGATCAAATCGAGACATGATAGGTGCACTTAAGGCGATGTTTTGTTGAAGAGACTTCGCTCTGTCATAACGTCCACCAATGGGATTAGCAGCAGCGAGGATTGAAGTCCTTGCATTCAAAGTTGCACGAACTCCTGCTTTAGCAATAGAAATAGTCTGTTGTTCCATAGCTTCGTGGATAGCAACTTGATCTCTTGGATCCATTTTATCGAATTCATCAATGCAGCATACTCCGTTGTCTGCCAACATTAACGCACCGGCTTCTATGACGAAATCATAAGATTCTTCGTCTTTTACAACAGCTGCTGTTAAACCAGCTGCCGAGGATGCTTTTCCTGATGTGTAGACTGCTCTAGGGGAAAATTCAGATACTTGTTTGAGGAATTGTGATTTTGCTGTGCTGGGATCACCAACAATGCAACAGTTGATGTCTCCTCTAAGAGATGTTCCTTCAACGGTTGTTTTAGAGACTCCTCCGAATAACATCAAGAGAATTCCACGTTTTACTTCGTCATTTCCATGAATAGACGGGAATAATGAGTGGATTAGGTTGTTGTATAAGTTGCGATCGTGGCTCATTTCATACATGTGCTTCCATTCGCCTTCTGTCATCTGTTTCTTCATCATTTCGGGTGTCATCTCTTCCAGGTTCATTTCAATTCCACCGAAACGTGGGTTGGTTGGTTGTACGCTACAAGCAAGAAAGCAACGCGGTAGTGTAAATCTCTTACACCGAGTGATTTTAAGCCTCGGACTCCTTCTGCTTCATCGCCTGGTTTATGACGGGAGTTGATTTGAGCGCGTGCTCCTGGTAGAGACATAGCTCCCACGTCTGGAACAACAATAAGTGATCCAGTGAAGTCGTATCGGTCGCCAGCTTGGACTAATTCAACGTTTTCAGCGCGTAGAATTACTTCCACGCTGCGTGGAATACAACCACGTGGAAGTTCAGCTTGTGTTTCTTGTATGCGGACTTTTGGAAGTCGACAAACACGGATTTATCGACATCCAAGACGAATTTACTGCGGTTGTTACAGACTGGATTACGGCAAATCGTTGGATTTGTGTATTTGAATTGTTGTTCGACATTTTTGTAACAGTCTGGCAATCAGCACAGACAAATGTTCCAAGAACAAGTTCAGGATGTACTGGATGAGTTCTAATAACTTGTCCAGAGATTCTGATCAATGTGCCGATTTTCTCAGTTTTTAGTTCTCTGACTTTGTGTCTGGTAGGCACATCAATGAAGCTAACATAGCATTCTTTTTCTTTCTTCAGATCACTGCGATCCTTGACAAAGTTGGAGACTGCTTGGCAGAGGTATGGATAGATGCGGTAATATTCTTCAATGATGGTGGTTGCGAGGTTCTGGTTGTAGTGTTCTACATCTTCAAAACTCACTTCAATGGTGCTTCTTTCCTGGATGAGGAGCTCCTTTGCTGGTTCAAGGTATTTATATTCTCCATCTTCTTTAAATCTAATTTAAAATATTAGTTTAGTTAGTTTATTTTTTATGAGGGTGATTAAAACTTACTCTTCAAGGAAATCTTGGAATAGTTTCTGGCATCGCACGCCAACCTCGTCTTTTACGCGAATTTGTCCAACATTTACATCGGCTACATCCATTTTATTAGTAGTAACACTTGTATTTATTTATAAATTCGATTAAATACAAACTTAACTTGGAAAGTTTAGTTCTAACGTGAAAACAGGCGAAACTCAACGCAACAAGTAACGGGCCAAGTGAATATAAACGAAAAACCGCGCGAAACAACTTTATCATAACCTTCTGTAGTAAAAACATCAATCAACAGATGTCGTGTCATGTCTCAGACTTTAATTAATAGATGGCGCTACAATCAACTTTCAAATTATACGATTCGGTCAATAGTGAAATGTTTTTATTTTTGAAACATAGATGGCGATACATGTACGAAATTAAAGTTTAATCGTCTGCGCAAATGGCATTGAATTCCGACGCGTAATACAAACTCAGCGAATTCGTGAATCCTGTCCCGGCGCGAGTTCCATTAACTACAACGAGCGTATCTCCTGCTCTGATAAAATTACAATGTTTCCCGTAGGTGATTCCGAATTGAATGCGTTTATGAACGTCTTCATTCCAATCCACCAGCGGTTTCGCAATGAAATGTATCGGTTCAACAGCTCGGTAAAGCTGTAATTTTCTCGCAACGCACGCATGTCTTGTAATTGCAATAATCGGACATCTTGGTCGGTAACGAGCGACAACTTCAGCGGATCTTCCGGATGTAGTTAATAAAATAATACAAGCCGCGTTTGATTTGACTGATGATTCGACTGCGCTCATTGCTAACGCGTAGATTGGCTCGAAAGGCCAAGGGTTTTCTCGGGATAAATCCTGGAATACTTGGCGGTGATGCACGGCTGATTCAGCTTCTTTGCATAAAGTTGAAAGGGTTGTAATGGCTTCCAAGCCGTAATCCCCAGAGGCTGTTTCACGAGATAATAAAAGACAATCTGCGCCGTCTAAAATGGCGTTTGTTATGTCCATTATTTCGGGTTTGGTGGGCACAGGGCTGTTGGTCATTGATTCAAGAACTTGTGGTGCGATAATTACAGGTGTTCCTCGCTAAAAAGTTTAAATGTTGCAGTTATTTAATGATATTCAGGTAAATGTTGCTTGTTGATTTGGTAAATTGCCAAGGTGTTGAGTATATGACTCCGTGGCGCAACGGTAGCGCGTCTGACTCCAGATCAGAAGGTTGCGTGTTCAAATCACGTCGGGGTCAATGAACTTTTTCATAAATTTTATGTTAAAAATTTAATTTAATAATATTTTATATATTTGTACGTGACTGCGAACTATAATTTTTTTGTTTGACTTATTTTTCCCTTCATATTCACGTAAGAATAAAGGAAATATTATAAAATGTATATTTACTTACTTTGTTACATTCGGCAATAATTTGTTTTTGAACAATGAATAATTTTTCAGGCCGTACAGCATGTTCCAAATCAGATCTGGACACGAACACTCCATCTGCTTCTTTTGCGATGTCTTTAATGTTCTTAACGCCGGGTAAGTCTTCAATTTTTGCAATTATTTGAATGTGTTGGCCTTCTTCACCTAAATGTTTCCTTACTTCACGTATGGCGAATTTATCTCGTACGTTAGACACGATTATCATGTCGACATTCAAGTCCACAGCTATTTTAATTTCTTCTTCGGAAACAGTGGGTAGGTCGATGATTGCTTCATCGAATTGCACTGCAGATCGGTCGCAGATTGAACCGGCGCGTTCAATGACACAACGGATAAAACTTCCGACTGGAAGTTTAATAAAATAATAAGTTTAAAGGTAAAATTTTCAAAAGATTGCATCGGCCGGGAATCGAACCCGGGCCGCCCGCGTGGCAGGCGAGCATTCTACCACTGAACCACCGATGCTTGTTTCTAGTGCCTTTTGTTTTGTACATAACCTAGATTCTCACCTACTTCCAACGCTGATAGTCTTACAGAGTTGTTAATATTCAATTTATCTCCTGGTTCTAAAATATCGTTGATTCCATTATAGTCTACGTAAATCACATCTTTAGTTACTTGTTCTTCATAGGAAGGATCTGAGGTTAAACAAGTTTCTTCTCCAGGTTCAAATTCAAGTTTTAAACTCGGCTGAAATACATTTTTTAAATTTCATCCCAAAATATTTTAATATTTTGTTTTACATCTTTTAAAGTTCCTGTCCGTATCTCTGGCCCTTTAAATCAATAGCGATTGCAAGCGGAAACATAGTACCAATCTTCTTGCTGTGGATATCGCATGCGGCACGAATGTTATCCACGACATTCTCGCATTCAGCGCGCGTGAAAAACGCCATTTTCAAACGTGCGACATTCATGCCGGCGCATATCATGCGTTCAATGTCCAGCAGATTGCTGGATTTCGGTCCTAATGTGCACATTATGCTTGTGAGGCGTACACGTGCGGGAGGCGATTCAAAATTGAGTTTTGATAGGTAATCAGTACGGTTTTCATTGAAAACGGCTTGGAGTTGTTGTTTGGGGACGTGGTCTTGGTCGGTTGAGAAGAAATTTATCATCTAGTATTTTTAAAAGTGGAATTAATTAGGAAAATTAGATTTTTTAAAGAAATTTATTATACCCATGGTAGTTTTGGACAATTTTGGGCATGTTCCGCCATTTTTATTAATTTTTTTAGTTAAAATTTATAGAAAACAGTTAATTTTGCACTAAGGCAGAAAAATTTACGTTCGGTACGAAAATTTTGAGTTTATATTTGACAATTTTGTCAAATTTGATGTTAGACGTAATATTTTCTTATTTTTTAATAAATAACAGGGTAGAAGTTATTTTAGTACAAGTAATTTTAGAATTATTCATATGTTTATTACATATTTGATGTTCCAGACTAAAATATCTCCAAGTTTAATCATTTTGACCTATTAACTTCTACAGCGTGTTTCAATCTTTCATACTTTTCACTTTAATCACTCACATCGCATACAAATATTCAATTTATTTTGCATTTTAAATACAATTCAATTGCAATTCAACATAATTTGTATTCAAACACCTATAAACTCTACAAACGTGGAATAAACCACTTCTTAATCACATTTTCGGGCCTATATCACATGTCTTTACGAAGGTCTTTGAAGGACATCGAAAGTGTAAGTCGTCCACGATAAGCACACGACTTGTACACTCATTCGCATCAATTCCCATCAATTGACATCGTGCTGTGTTGCTGCGCTACACGCTCGTGGCGCATAGCTTCGCCGTCTTATCATAAACGCTGCGACGAGATAAACGCGCAAAAAAGTGATCGGCTTTGACGCGAAATTCAACACGAGAGTGCTTGTTAATAAATAGTATTGGATGTGGTGATCCGTGATCGACACGAGTCGCAATATATCTTTAAATAGAAGTAAACACATAACAAAAACAAACATTCATGTGGCAAATCTTGTTAAAACTACACACATAGTTTAATTTGTGATATAAAGTAGTGTTCAGCACTTGTGTCGTGTTTCAGTTAATGTAATAATCGTGCGGGCGACAGATCAATAAGTAATTAAATTATATTTGTGTGGAATTGTAAGGAAAGATCAAGATGAAAGCCATTGATAGGAATCTCTCAAAACACTTCCAGGTAATTCTTTTCTTTAATTTTAGTAGAAATATATTGGTAGGGTTTAAGAAAAGGTACAATAGTGTTTTATTCAAAAATTAACATTTTTTGTTTGTTTTTGGTGTAAAATTCATGTTTGTAATTAATTTTCAACATTTTATATAATATTATATCAATTGAACCTAAAATGTACAAAAATGTAATAGGACTGTATTTTTGGTAATTATTATCCAAAATATTGACATTTTTTGTTTGTTTTTGCTGAAAATCATCAAAAAAATTGACATTTTTGTATTATTATGGAAGATTTTTGCCTATTTTCGCTATAATTCATGTTTAATTGATAATCAACAGTATGTAAACACTCAAAGATCACTATCAGACCGTGTTATCTCATGTAATCACCACGTGAACCCTTTTTTCCACGCATTTTTACCTAAAACCGAACATTTTATAAATTATTACGTGCATCAGAAGCAATCAGTCAGCTGCCGACTGATCTAAGCTAGAGTTTCACAGTTACGTTGAGTTATAATTTCGATTCAAGTTTCCACAACGTGGATATCACGTGTTCGCCTAGGTAGTTAATTCAACTAGTTGAATAGAGCGCGCAATAAAAAAAAAACTCCAACGAGTGTGGTAGTACGAATTCAACGTCGACATTAACTTCACCTCCAAACGTACTAGCATTGTCCTCGACACCGCTCCAACTCTATCGGAACTGTGTGCTGTGCTACGCCCGACTAGAAAATCCACGTATCTACGAGTGCAACAAACATTCCACACTATTTTCTACGATTTTTCACATTACCATCCATTAACAACATTATCCACACGCGATAAAGGTGAGGGAGTTTTATTATGTGGACCATTTCGAAGTGAATTCGCGCATTTTCGCACGTTTTCCGATAGTAATATTAATATAAAAGGACAAGTAAACATAACCTTAGCATCCTAAATATGTAGTTCATGTCGCACACAGCTAGTTAATGTTTTAAATAAACACAATGATATCTATCGCTGTGATATTATTATATTACGATTATTACAAATATTAGTTGTGTTTGTTTGTACATCTAATTGCTATAATTAGAAGTATTTACAACGTACGTGGGAGACAATTACAAACAAGTGATAATACACACCGGCGATGTGGTGATTTGCTCACAATTATTTCACCTGCAAGTAAATACATGTCTCGAGTTGCTAAAACTTTCCATGCTTTTCAGTTTAGTTGTGCGCTGTGTATCAATATGAACACATCGTGATTTTTTTTCGAAACTAAATAATTGTTTAGCAACGTTGTATTATTATTATTAATTGAAGCTGTCAAAGCGTATTGTGTGATATCTTAACAATGGATAGTTATTATTTCCAGAAATTTGTAAGTTGTCAATAGATGCGTTTGATCAGTACAAGTCAAAGAGAAAAATAAGAAAATAATAATGGAGGGCGAATATTTTAGCAAATTTGTAAGTGATTTCGTAGAGATTTGATTCATATTGATCACAGATTACACATTGACAAATTGTCACATCTTCCTCGCGTCATGTAAACATTGTTTTTTGTGATGGTGTTAGAAAATTTTTGTGTAATTCAAAACGATTAAAATTGCGATGCCTGTATGCAGTGGGCACGCTGGTGGCCGGTGGCCTCTTGGGACGGAGGCTAGTGTTACGAGGCTCCACAACGAACGGATTGCTGCTCAGCAGACAATATCTAGCATTACAGACAGGGAAAATGGTTTGGACGACGACGTTAGATATACTGCCAAAGCCGGTCTGTTTATAACCAAGTGTTGGAACTTTTTCGTAAAAGTTTTGCGTTGCGTTTGATTTATGCCTGGTTTTTATTATAATTTCGATTTTTAGCGTGTTACATATAATATTTTATAATTTTTTGATGTTGATTATGTTCTTTGCTTGTTTTTGTATAATATTTGTGTTTTTATTTAATTTATTAATGATTTTTGAGTGTTTTGTGCGTTTTTTTAACTTTTGGCGATTTTTTTATTCAAGATGGCGAACCCAAGTGTTCCGCCAATGCAGATGCAGGCCCTGAACACAGCATCGCACCTGGAGCACATGTGCATGCTGGATATCAGCTCCCAGGCATCTTTCGTACGCCAATCTGGAATTATCTGCACAATTGGGCCGGCGTCCCGTGATGTGGAGACTCTGGAAAGAATGATGGCGATTGGTATGAATGTTGCTCGCCTTAACTTTTCGCATGGTACCCATGAATACCATGCAGCGACTATTGCCAATATTCGTATTGCTGTTGAGAACTACAGCAAGAGTATTGGTATGTCGTATCCGCTCGCCATTGCTCTTGATACCAAAGGTCCTGAAATCCGAACAGGGTTATTGGAAGGTGTAAGTGTTTTTAATATAATTAGTTATTTATTTGTTTTTTTTTTTACTGACGATAATTGTAATTTATAGGGTGGAAGCGCAGAAGTTGAGTTAAAAAAAGGTGAGAAGCTGAAACTGACCACCGATCGTGCCTATATGGAAAAGGGTAACGGCCAAATCATCTACGTTGATTACGATAACATTATCAAAGTGGTCCAGCCCGGTAATCGTATCTACGTTGATGATGGCCTACTCTCCTTGATGGTTACCGCTGTGCAAGGCCCCACTGTGGTGTGTGAAGTAGAAAATGGTGGTATGTTGGGAAGCAAAAAAGGTGTTAACCTTCCGGGTATCCCTGTTGACCTTCCGGGAGTGTCCGAGAAAGACCGCACTGATTTGGTGTTCGGCGTTGAGCAAGGCGTTGATATTGTCTTTGCGTCCTTTATTCGAGATGGTTCAGCGCTCAAGGAAATCCGCGCAATTTTGGGCGAGAAGGGTAAAGATATCATGATCATCTCGAAGATTGAGAATCAACAGGGTATCGACAATCTGGATCAAATCATCAAGGCTTCCGATGGTATTATGGTCGCCAGAGGCGATTTAGGTATTGAGATTCCAACCGAGAAAGTGTTCCTGGCACAAAAGTGCATGATTGCAAAGTATGTATTTGTATAAATAGTTTATATAAATTTTATTTAATTGTTTGTGGGTTTTAGGTGTAACAAAGCAGGAAAACCTGTGATTTGCGCCACGCAGATGCTGGAATCTATGATTAAGAAACCGCGTCCCACTCGTGCTGAAAGTTCTGATGTAGCGAACGCCATCTTGGATGGCGCTGATTGCGTTATGTTGTCGGGAGAAACTGCCAAGGGCGATTTTCCGCTCGAATGTGTCGCCACCATGGCGAGTATCTGCAGGGAAGCTGAAGCTGCCATCTGGCAGTATCGTCTGTTCAGCGAACTGGTCACAAATGTAAGCTATATAAAGTTAACAATCATCCGCCATTTTAAATATTTAATTTTTAACGTATTTTAGGTGGAAGCACCAATTGAAGTGGCACAAACAGTCGCGATCGCCGCTGTTGAGGCGTCAGCGAAGTGTCTTGCCGCTGCTATTATCGTCATCACCACCTCCGGTCGCTCCGCATACTTGGTTTCGAAATACCGGCCACGTTGTCCTATCATTGCCGTGACCCGTAGGGCACAAACCGCTCGTCAGGCGCATTTGTACCGTGCCGTTTTGCCTCTTATTTACACTGGTAATAATATTTAGAAATATATTTTTTAACTTTTCTAATTATGATTATGTTTAGCCGAATCTAAACAGCAAGATTGGCTGAAAGACGTTGACGATCGCGTTGAATACGGCATTCTTCACGGCAAGCAGAGGGGTTTCATCAATCCAGGAGACCCGGTTATTATCATTACTGGCTGGCAGATGGGATCAGGATTCACCAACACCATGCGCATTGTGTACGTAACGCGTGGTAACACCACCAGTACCGGCTGATTCGAACCTCCTGCAATCCAAGAATCCCATTTCCTACTGTTTGTCCCAATGAAACCTATTAAAGAAATGATTTTATGACTGCATTCATGTGATTCTGTGTTGTTTATTGGTATTTTTGTGTTGCAGTCATGTCAAATGAGGCATCCACAGCGGATAACATCGACAGGGTCGTATTTCTAGTTTTAATTTAAAATTCATTTTAAATTTTATCTTATCAAGTCTACTTGAAAACATAGTTTTATGTTGCTTTAATATTGATTTAATCATAAGTGAATGACATCATACAGGCTTCAGGATGATTTAATTTTAAATTAATAAAAAAATAATGAAAATGTTTGTTTATAAAAGTTAATTTTAATTGTACATTAACAAATCATGTACATTTGATTATATTTTCATTCAAAATCATCAATTTCATAACAAAAGACAAACAAAAACAATATTTGTATTATATTACAAAACTGTCATTAGTTAATGTAATTTATACAAGTGACACTTGAAAGAAGTTGTAAAAATGGTTGATGCACCGTTTTTCTATGAGAAAGTACGTGTATATTTCAGTGGTACGTCTGCCATTTTGTAAAAACTGATTTCATTTACAGTTGGTCAAACCTGGTGTAATTCCAAGACAGGGCCATGCGCAGCGTAAAAAGGACGAATTAAATCACAACGCCGCGCTGCAGACGGGTTCGCGACCAGTTGGATATCGTAAAATTGGAATCTGGTGCGATATTGGTATGATTTGCAAATGGCGGTCGGCAAAAATTGCATTATCATTGTTACAGGACCTGCAAGTAAAGATGTCGCGACGCTTGAGAAGCTCATTGCAAACGGAATAAACGTTGCCTGTGTGCCGTTGTCGTGCTGGTCATCCAACACATATCCGGAAATCATTCGTAATATTCGCGAAGCGGAAGTTAACGAAAATTTCAAAGCGGGCGTGCCTACGTTTATAGCAATTGCGATGGAAACTCTTGGACCTGTAATACGCATAGGTGTTCTTGAGGGGGTAAATTAATTTATTAAACAGAAATTCATTGTAAATAACAATTAAAAAAATATATATTGTTAGAATATGGATTGTCCGGTGAAGAAAGGTGATATTCTAAGATTAACCACGGATAAAGCGTATCTAGAAAAAGGTAACAGCGGCACAGTCTATATAAATTACGAAGATATTTTGAAAATCGTCCAATCGGATGACAGAATATTCGTCAGTGACGGCACAATCTCGCTGATTGTTAGCGAAATTCACGGCTCTAATATCATAACAATAATTGAATGCGATGGTACATTGAAAAGTTTAACAAGCGTGTTTCTTCCGAATATTCGACCGCAGTTGCCATCGCTTTCTGATCAAGATAAAGTTAACATTTCCAATGCCATGGGTATTGGAATTCATTACATCTTAGCAGGCAGGGTACGCAATGCAGCTGATGTACAAGCTATTAGAGACTATGTAGGCACTGCCGGTGAGAAGATAAGAATAGTTGCGAGAATTGACGGTTACCAAGCCATACAAAACCTTGATGAGATAATGGACGTGTCCGATGTTATATTAATCAATCGCTTTTATCTTGGTGTGGAAATCCCACATGAGAAAGTGTTTATTGCGCAAAAAAGCATTATAGCAAGGTGTGTGTTTTTTAAATTCTAAATTCATGCCATTTTGTTATAAATTATTGTTTTATTTAGATGTAATGCAAGAGGGATGCCAGTAATAGTGGCTAAACATTTCGTCGACTCAATGATGTATAGATCACGGCCTAAACGAGCTGAAACTGTTGATATTGCTAACGCTGTCATGGATGGCGCCGATGGAATTCACATCAGCGAAACAGTTTCGGGAAGTTACCCAGTTGAGTGTATTAGTTTTACAGCTGCTACTTGCATTGAAGCCGAAGCGGCAGACAATCAATGGCGGCGTTTCCGTGAACTTGTATCAAAGGTAAATAAATTAGTATTTACCTATGTATGATTTAAGAAAATAATTTATTAGATCGAACGTGGGACATTGCAAGAAACTCTTGCGTTATGCGCGGTACAGACTGCGTATAAAGTGGAGGCGGCCGCCATTATTACCCTTGCTGTTACTGGGACGATGGTGAGACAAGTAGCAAGTTTCAAACCGAATGTTCCAATCATCGCCATCATGAAAGATGAGTTCCTGGCGAGACAATTAAACAGCTGCAGAGCTGTTTTCCCGATTCAATATACAGGTTAGTAATAGTCTCAATGTATGCTTTTAAAATAGGTTTTCTACATGATGCATGATTTTAATAGATACAAACGATAATTACACCCCAGAAGATAACTGGCGGAAATTCATCGAACTGCGATTGGAATATGGGGCTTTGCATGGGAAAATCCTGGGTTTTATTCGTAGTGGTGATCCAATTGTTTTACTGCATGGTTCCTCTCCAATAGCAGGTTTAACAGATGTAATGCGTGTCACCTATGCGTCCGATATTGTTAGACCTATTGCTTACTAATACAACTGTTTTTATTTATAATTTCTTTAATTTTAACTTCTTTACATACATTATAAAAATATCCTAAATAGTGTAAATTATGCACGTTTAGACCTCCAGTCAAGAAACTCATCTATGTCAATATCGTCACTGCTACTGTCTTCATCTTCTTCTTTCACATTCATGTGAATATCGCTAACTTGTTGAATGATTTCAATCTTTTTCTTTTCTAAGTTTACAACCCGGGACCAGTTTTTCATTTGTTCCTCGATTTCATCAATTTGTCTTTCAGTTGTGGCTTCTTCTTGGTCTTCAGCAATAATGGCTGCAGATGCATGATCTGCATCTTTGATTTCTTTCTGGAATCGCTCCCATTCTTCTTCTATGGGATCTTTAAATTCAATATTTCTTGCCTAAAAATATTAATTCTATTTATTTTGTATTTTGTTTTAATGTAAGTGAATACCTTTGCATCTAGTTTAGGATCATCAAAGAAACCTTCAGGTATTTGCTCTGTAGGAACTTCATCGACATCCATTTCCTCTATATTTTGTGTATTATTTGTATTTTGTTTGTATTTCTTTGCTTTTTTAGTACTTGAGGGTCCAGAATCAAAGAAATCTTCTGGTAGTTCTTCTCCATCTGGATGTGTGTTTGTTCTTTCATTACCTGGATGCAGATTTTTGTGTTTTTCTTCTATTTTCTGATCATTTTCTATGACTGTAATGTTGCTGGGTGCTATTACTCGTGTAATATTTCCAGTATTTTTTAGAATTCCCTTAACTTTCTTATTGTTTACTTCTGGTGTGGGTGATAATGCTCTTTTTGCTGTTGTGAAGTTGTTGGTTTTTTCCTTGAGAGCCTTTGCCTGCTCCACATTTTGTTTGTGTTGTTTTGCATTGAGGTGAATCTTCCAGACAGCATCAGATCTGACTATGGATTGGCACAGGATGCACATGAGCTGACCAGTTTCATTATATGTAATGTAATATTAAGGAAAACTTTCATATTTAATATAGAAAATTGGAATAAAATATTATGTTCTGTTTAAAAGGATATTTTGCAAGTGGTGAGTTGATTTTTGATGTTTGCTGACCCTTGGATTTGTGCTCATGCATTAGCTTTCTTAATTCGGCTTGTGGCAGCTTGCGTTTAGCATTTTTGAAAGTCGCGGACATGGTTTTCTGTTGTTTTTCTGATGATCCTGTGTTGGTTTGATTCTTCGAAGACGATAGACGAATTTGTTTGAAGTTAAATAAATATAGTTAACCTCCACTAGTAGTAAGTGGATAGTGGATAGATGGCGCTAGCATTAACTTATTTGAATTAAATTGAGTTTCGCCTTCGCCTAGCATGTGCGGTTTGTGTCGCGTAGTTGTGCGATGCGCACGTGTTTTGTTCGCCAATCGACCTTTGTTTCTACATTTCGCGTTGCTCGAGGTTTTAAATCGGTAGTAGCATAAGAATCAGTTAACCATCGACAGTTTTTATTAATAACTTTGTATCGTACGGCCATTGATATCGTCGAAAGGGTGGATCGGATTGTAATTTGTATTTTTATTTCTCTTTCTTTTTTATTGTGGAGACGTAGTCTCCGATTGTTATTACATTTTATGGTATACGTTCTATGTGTTTCTATCCGATTCTTTTTTTAAGTTGATAAATATTTTCAATGGTTAGATAGCGCTACGATGTACGGTTTTGCATTAAATATTGCTTGTTGGTGGTAGTGAGTGCACACCGTGTCCGTGTAGATCACGCGATTTCGCTCAAGAGATAAGTTTGTTTACCTGCAGGTATCGAATCTTTATTTCGTGGAATCAAAACACACCGTTGCTGTTTATGATATTAGCATCGTAAATTGCAAATATTATTCAATTCTTTCATGAATATAACTAACAATTTTATATTAATTCTAATACATTTTTATTATCAGCAGATGATTACAGACTAATGTGTTACCTGGTAAACGAGAAACGATGCATGTTCAAATTAAATATCACTTAATTATTTAATGTAAAATCTGTCAATATGTCAGCATAAGAAATCAGAATTACGCAAATCGAATTTTAATTTTTTATTACCTTTACTAATCTAAATTTCGAAACTACTGTATCATTGGTAATAACATGGACTAAAAATTGTAAAATAAACTTTTATTGTTTATTTCTATATTTATCAGCAAGCGTGAAACTTCGACGCAAGAATTGTGTTTGTTTGAACACAATGTACACTTTCTTATCGCATTGCCGTGTGTCGTCGTTGCCAGCACCTCACGCCGCATATTGCTGCATCTTAGTATAGTTTTGATCCCAGGTAAACTGCCAAATGCAATTCGCGCACAAGGTCGCGTGTGATCGACGCGCCGGCTTTGCGCACCTCTTGTTTTCTTATCATAAACTGCCTCGTCGTTGCTTATGCAGCTTGCGGCCAGTTTTGTGCCGGTCGCTGGTTAATCCAGACGTATTATGCGCGACTCGTATTGTTTATCCGGACTTCTACTTTCCAATTCGAATTATATTCGATCATCAATTGACTTTTTAATTTTAATTTGACTTTAGTAACTTTAGTACTGTAATTTATTATTTGCGCGTAAGTGTATCGCGGCTATGTTGTTTACCTGTTGTGAAGTGCAGTCGGCCATCTTCCAATTGGTAAGAATTGCTATTTATTTTATTCTGCACAGTGGCGGATTACGGCCTAGGCGCACTAGGCGCGCGCCTAGGGCCCCGGCTGCCTGGTGGGCCCCGGTTGCCTGAGGGGCCCCTGGCACTTATATGTCCCATATAGACATAGTGCGCCTTTATGAATAGCGTATTGGTTTTCACTTGGCGCCCAAAACGGCATTTCACACGTGTCCGCAAAGCAACCGTCACGGATATATAGCTGACTTAAAACTTTTTATCTCCGATTTTATTTCTTTATGACAAACTGTTTAAAATAAACTTTTGATGTTTTCTGCCACGAATTTTTGTGACCTTTTCTTGAATATTGCATTAGAAAGTTGTAGCTATAATGCGAGTAGTAGGTATATTGCCAATTTTTTAAAATTTCGAACATCTGTGGAGGAGATGAGTTGAGGAATATTCCATTGAGGTTGTAAAATAGCGGGTAACTCTCTTTTTTGGAATATTAATTATTTCGTCTTTCTATCATTTTTTCACATCATTTTTTTATGGCTTAGATATCACAAACTGTAGGGGCCAATCTTATGATAACGCTGCTAACATGTCTGGCAAGTACAGTGGATTACAGGCACGCATAAATCAACATTCCAAATCAGCTGAATTCATACCATGTGAAAGTCATTCTTTAAATTTGGCTGGGAATACTGCAGCGGAATCTTGTTCTGGAGCATTACAGTATTTTATGTTTATGCAAAATATATATATTTTCTTTGCTGCATCAACAAGACGGTGGAATATTTTAACTGAATGCATGAAAGATAAGAATTCTAAAAGTATCAAGAGAATAATTGATACACGATGGTCCGCAAGAGCTGACGCTGTTTTAGCCCTAAGACTTAATTATCATGACATTTACCAATCCTTGATAAAGGTAACCACAGATTCCAATGAACCAATTTCAAAATTAGAAGCAAAAAAATTATCAAAAGAGTTCAATCAATTTGAGACGGCACTGTTAACAATTTTCTGGAACAAACTCCTACAGAGAATCGAAATTACCAGCAAATACTTACAGGAACCAAAGACAAATTAATAGTGTTAGTTTATTAAAATCATTAAACGAATTTATAACAGAGGTCAGAAATAATTTTGAAACTGTTGAAGAGGAGGCTAAATCTCTAACAGCTCATCATTCTTATAAAGAGATGAGACAAAGAAAACGCAAATATCCATATGATGAAACGAACAAAAATGATACAGCATTTTCGTCAAGAAATTTTTTTATTGTCAACATTTTTTATATTGTATGTGATGTATTAACATCAGAAATTACTCGAAGGGGCTATATCAATGTTCTTAACGATTTTAAAATTTTCTTTGATTTAAAATTAAGCCGTGTTGAGACTAATAATTGTGTAGAGCGATTATTGTCTAAGTATGAAAAAGATATTGAGCCAGAATATTTCACTGATGAGTTAACTCATTTTCTAAAATACATACAAGAAGAAAATATTAGAGATCCATATGAAATGTATGCAACATTAAGTAATGGTCTAAAATCAACTTTTTCAAATATACACACAATACTGCAAATTTTTTTGATCTTGCCCGTTTCTAATGCAAGTGGAGAAAGGACATTTTCAGTTTTAAAACGAGTCAAAAACTATCTGCGCAATAGTCTTTCACAAGAGCACTTAAATGACTTCGCATTAATGTTCATAGAAAATGATATTTTTAAAAAACTAGAGTACGACAAAATTATTGAAATCTTTGCCCAAGAGAAGGCAAGAAAAGTAAATTTCTAATTTGTATTTAATTACGATTACCATTTTTGAGCACACGTACGATGAACTCGAGAACCAAGATAGCATTGAAAACGATAATCCCATCGCGGATAGTATGGCAGAAAATTTTACCTGTGATATTTTGATCGGTCCTGAAAACAATTAACGCACAACACCTGGTCCATCGCGAAGAGCGAATCGGAAGATAATCCATTAAATTTTGGAATAGTGCGTGTGCGATAAAAAAAAAAACGCGCCACGTACTCTACCTCAAGGTGGTGTGGAAATGAGTTTTTGGCACAAACGAATGTTGAAGTAGACTTTGGGGCGCCCGTACGCTAAAACTATTAATTTTACTGGGCTAATAACCGTTTTTGAAAATTTTCGGATTTAGGGGCCCCAAACTTGATTTGCGCCTAGGGCCCCACTGAAGCATAATCCGCCACTGATTCTGCATTCGCGTAAATAACATTGACTTCATTTAAAGTTAGAATGATAAATGTAATTGATTTAGTTTTCCATTTTAAGCGTCTGTCAGTATCCGATGTAACGTCGCGTTCGCCGTGCATGTGTTTGCCTTTCAGGCGCATCATGGTCGCCGCCGGTATCGCGGCTCTGTTGCAAACAATACGGTCTTAAAACCTAATTAATACAGTAAATTCATATGAACGTTTGCATCTTTTATTAAATACAATTTAAAATCTAAGCCTTCCTAACTTATGCCGATATTGCCAGCTAGCATTGTGTTCAATCTTGTGACTATTGACCCTTATCGGTGTTTATTTACAACTAGTGTGTTCTTATCTCGTTCGCCGTGTGGAATGCACCGTGCACACACATTTCGACAACAAACATCGGGTTTTGATGCACGAATTGATAACATTCTTTTATTTTGCATTTATATAACATGTTTTAACTTTTATTCATTTATTATAGTAATTGAAGAAATACCAGTGAGGGCCAGTGACGTTCCATGAGTTACAATACACAGGGTGAGAGTTTATGGGTGAGATTATAATTAAATTCTTCATTTCATGGGCATAGTTCAGTTTCGCGTCATTGTAATTGTCATTCCGGTTTGAATTAATATAAATTTAATACATTGCCCGCCTGTGAAATGCTTATTTTTACCGATGTTTAATGTTTACACTGGAATGCCCCTGATATGCGAATTTATTGACATTTCTTTTCGGTTTGCTCCCCCGACTGAGGTGAGATGCTAGGCCGGTTGGTGCATGAAAATAAAACAGATAAAAATATATTTATTCCGTACAATACAACTTACACACGAGAATTGTTTGACTTCTATTTATTAATCGGTGTTAGTATTTCTATTCTTTTGATTAAATATTTCATTGAATTATTTTGATTTGTTTTATTTGATCGGGAATTTCCCTTCAGAACAGTTCAACCATTTTCCAAATTTCGAGTTTTGTAGTGTCGATTCATGCGAACAATTCTGGTTTTAATGCAAATCAATTCTCTGATATGTTTCCCTTCAGAACAGTTCAACCATTTTCCAAATTTCGAGTTTTGTAGTGTCGATTCATGCGAACAATTCTGGTTTTAATGCAAATCAATTCTCTGATATGTTTCCTACTTGGCTTCACTATTTGTTCTACGATTCTCAATCTCAGGATTTGCACTCCTTGTAAGTCTCATCATATTTTTGTATACTTAGTATATGTACAGTATGTATGTATGTTTGATACTTCTGATTGTCAGTATTAGGTATATTTTTGTATATTTCCGTTTGTATGCGAACTCTGCGACCTAGCAACTTCAGCGGGGCGTCAAAAAAAGCAGAATTAAAATCTCCGCCAGGTGGTATTTGTTAGCGGTAGAAGTGACTCGATTCAGGGCACCTTACGAGGCTAGCGGTCAAAGTGACTCGTGTTCAGGGCACCGTAGGAACGCGCGAAAATTTGAATAAAAGGGTGATTTTTGTCACTCCTTGCGCTAGGAATTGTAGTTTTTTTATTATAACACGCGATCGCGGTGTCTAAATTAGTTCGAAATAATTTTCCCAGATGCGGAATTTAATTCTTAATTGCCATGTATCGAAATTTATTGCGAGAAAATTCCGTAACACGAGTTATAATGATAGTTGTGTGTATACGCATATACGCAATAGTACTCGTTGCGCTAGGAATTGTAGTTTGTTTTTATTATAACACGCGAACGCGGTCTTAAACTAAGGTCGGAATAATTTTCCCAGATGCGGAATTTAATTCTTTATATCCCTGTATCAAACTTTATTGCGAGAAAATTCCGTAACGCCGGTTATAATGATAGTTGTGTGTATACGCATATACGCAATAGTACTCGTTGCGCTAGGAATTGTAGTTTATTTGTTATAACACGCGAACGCGGTGTCAAAATTAGTTCGGATTAATTTTTCCAAATGCAGAATTTAATTTTGCATCTCCCGGTATAAGAATGTTTGGCCAGAAAATTCCGTAACGCGAGTTATAATGAAAGTTGTGTTTGCGCCGTAGTACTCGTTGCGCTAGAAATTGTAGTTTTTTTGTTATAACTTGCGAACGCGGTTTCAAATTTAGTTCGGAATAATTTCCATGGTTTTTTCGTGTTTGCTCGCGATCTAGGCGTCGCACTAACTTCAGCGTGGCGTCAAAAGATGCGGAATTAAATTTTCCGTCGGGTGGTAATAGATTGTTGCCGGAATTCCCCTTGGAACCCGCGAAAATTTTCATAAAATTGAAATTTTTCATGGTTTTTTCGTGTTTGCTTGCGATCTAGGCGTCGCACTAACTTCAGCGTGGCGTCAAAAGATGCGGAATTAAATTTTCCGTCGGGAGGGAATAGTTTGTTGCCGGAATTTCCCCTGTAACCCGCAAAAATTTGCATAAAATTGTAATTTTCCATGGTTTTTTCGTGTTTGCTCGCGATCTAGACGTCGCACTAACTTCAGCGTGGCGTCAAAAGATGCGGAATTAAATTTTCCGTCGGGTGGTAATAGTTTGTTGCCGGAATTCCCCCTGTAACCCGCGAAAGTTTGCATAAAATTGTAATTTTTCATGGTTTTTTCGTGTTTGCTTGCGATCTAGGCGTCGCACTAATTTCAGCGTGGCGTCAAAAGATGCGGAATTAAATTTTCCGTCGGGTGGTAATAGTTTGTTACCGGAATTTCCACTGTAACCCGCGAAAATTTGCATAAAATTGTAATTTTCTATGGTTTTTTCGTGTTTGCTCGTGATCTAGGTATCGCACTAGCCTCAGCGTTGCGTCAAAAGATGCGGAATTAAATTTTCCGTCGGGAGGAAATAGTTTGTTGCCGAAATTTCCCCTGTAACCCGCAAAAATTTGCATAATATTGTAATTTTCCATGGTTTTTTCGTGTTTGCTCGCGATCTAGGCGTCGCACTAACTTCAGCGTGGCGTCAAAAGATGCGGAATTAAATTTTCCGTCGGGTGGTAATAGTTTGTTGCCGGAATTCCACCTGTAACCCGCGAAAATTTGCATAATATTGTAATTTTCCATGGTTTTTTCGTGTTTGCTCGCGATCTAGGCGTCACACTAACTTCAGCGTGGCGTCAAAAGATGCGGAATTAAATTCTCCGTCGGGTGGTATATGTTGGTTGGAGGAACTGCCCTTGTAACTCGCGAAAATTTGCATAAAAATGTACCGCTACCCTCGTACGGTGCCCTGAATACGAGTCACTTCTACCGCTACCCTCGTACGGTGCCCTAAATACGAGTCATAAAATTGTAATTTTTCATGGTTTTTTCGTGTTTACTCACGATCTAGGCGTCTCACTAACTTCATCGAAGCGGAATTAAATTCTTCGTCGGGTGGTATTAGTTTGTTGCAGGAACTCCCCCTGTAACCTGTAACAGGTTATTTTTTATAGAACAAGATTATAATCGTCGATAGAAAGGATAAACCTTACGGGTTTCACTGAAACTTTTACTACTCTGCGACATGTTTCGCCACACTGTGGCATCATCAGGCAGATGAATATTAAGATTATAAAATATATTAACTGCGTGAAGTAAAAGTTTAAAAGTAGTTGTTTTTTCATTTTTTTTTCCAGATTTGTCAATTGCCATTATCTTCTAAGCTGTTTTTAAAAAAAGAATGCATTTAATTCTTGATTTTAGAATACATTATATATACGAATAAAAAATTGTAATAAATTGTTCATAGTTTTCACTCTTGACTCCATCACTCAATCGGTGTTTGTGTACAAACAACTTGTTTTTATCACATTGCAGTGCGTCCGATGTGTTCAGCAGTGTTTGTTCGTTCCACTTCTTACTTAGTCGATCGTGCGCTGCCGCGTGGTGAGCGCGTGTCTAGATGCGGGACGGTTTTCGTGGCGACTTATCGCGTTTCTTGTAATTCTAAATCGGTAGTTGAATTAGAATTGGTCAGCAAAGATAGAATTTAGAATTAACAAACGAATGCTGAGTGTCGTTAATGAGTTATCGCGCGTGGAACCCGTGACTTTAATAATGTACGCACGTGTTTGCTGTCGGCCGTCGGTTGCCTTCCGTCGGCTAAAAATTCCTGGTGGACTTGTTTTGTGTATTCATTTAATTATTTATTTGAATAAACATCGTTTGTGCTTCTGGTGGATTATTTCAATAGCGAAGGAGTGAGAAAATGTGGTACGTAAATACTATATTTTATGAACATTTGACGAATTAAACAGTAAATGTAAATTCATCAGCTGATAATGAAAAGCGATTAGTCACATAATTAAACACTCTAAAAATAAGTAACAATAGCTGTCACATTAGATCCCGTTTTTTGTGCTTTTATTCCTTATTCTGTCTGTAAATGGCTTGACATGTTTGCTAATTTGAGTTTAAGAGATCTTAGTTCAGTATTGCTGTAAAAGGTGTATAATAATTTGTGATTGGATTATTTATTATGTTGCTAGCCCCGCACCTATCACTTCTCCTCCAGAAGGAAACAGGTTATAAAACTTGCACTTTTGAAGTTTTTTTGTATCACCTTATATAAAAAAAATTCCTAATGGTCAGTAAAAAATTAATTTTTTTTATTGTTTTGATGCGATTTTTTTTTAAATTATAGATATTCTTTTGGTAACACCCTGTATATAATTTTCCAGGGATGTAACGCGAAAACAGTGCGCAATTTGCTATTTTCTAGTGTTATATTTTGTACTTTTGCAGCCGTTAGTACAGCGCGGCTATGCAGGTCATAAACATATTTTAAAATGACGTCATGTGTTCTATAGGTATTGAAATTGCAAGTTCTGAACTAGTATTATATGTAATTTGTTAATAAAGAAATGTTAAAGGCAATGGCTGTGTGTTATGACTTGTGCACCCCATCCTTCTATCATTTCAGGTACAGGTCACAACTTGTAAAGTATTTCTCAGTGTTGTGGTCGGCTCTGGAGCGGCGACACTTAGAAATATCTTATAAGTCCTCAAGGAGTTCTCCCACTCGGGGGATGATCCCCACTATAAAAATTGTGAAGGTATCCTGTATGATTTGTGTACTCCATCTTTCATTTCAGCTACAGGTAAGAACTTGTAAGAATATTTTTAAGTGTCCCTTCTCGTGAAGCGACTTAAAAATCAGAAATATTTTTACAAGTTCTTAAAAGGATGTCCTTATAATGAGTTCCCTCTCTCTGGGGATGATCCCCCACCATAAAAATTGTTGATATGCCTGATAATTTCGGGGATGAAGCGCAGAGACATCGCAGCTGTAGGATGGGCCGGGAGCAATGGACGGACCGAAGCAGTGGGCGATCGACCAGAGCGCCGGAGGCGCTCTGGGAGATCGACCTATGACTGTCTTATAACGACACGTGCCAAAAAATTTAAAAATTCTGTCACTCCTATTCTCTTTTCTTCCTGTACTCTCTCTTCTTCTTCTTCTCTTCTTACTTCTCCTCCTATTCTCTCCTGCTGCTGCTCTCTTCTTACTTACACCTCCACCATTCTCTTCTACTTATTCTTACTGTTGCTTCGTCGTACTCTGCTTTTCAAGTTATTTCTAACATTTGAATTTTTGTGGTATGCAACCCACATTTCGTAAATTTCTTATTATTTAATAAAATTGCCTTCTACAACTGAGATTCGATCCACGAACCTCCAGCATGCTAGCATATGCACATGCCACCTGAGCCACAACGCTCACTTATCAAACTCTATTCGTTTCAGGTATTAATGTTGTTGTTTTTGTCACCTTTTTAAAAACAACAACATTTATATATCACTTATATGCATTTCAAACACAGGTAATCAAATATGATCTTTAAATCTAATTCTGAAAACGACAATAGGAACATTGATAGATAACTGCTTCAAAATATACTATTAAATTATATTTTATTCAAACTCATATAATTAAGATAGTACATATACAAATTTAATTCTGTTACATGAAATTTAAGTACATGTGTTCAACGTGACTCACGAAAGTGACTTAAGTTACAAGTTACACTTACTTGAATGTTTAATCTTCACAAACTGGTACGGATTAGATTTTACGGACTTCATTCCACACCGGAAAAAATCGAAGTATATTTTCACGTTTGAATTATTTAATAAATGTACAAAAATATATAAATCCAGTAAGAATTCTTCGTGTCGACGAGATATCCGACGGCCGACGGCAAAAACGTGCGCACAATGTAGAACTACAAAATTCTGGCTTCCACGCGCGATAATTCATTAACTGCACGCCGCATTAGTCCGTTAATTCTAAATGTTATCTTTACTGACCAATTATAATTCAACTACCGACTTAAAATCATAAGAAACGCGCAAACTAGTTACGAAGATCGACTTGTGAACAAAACACGTGTGTGCCGAACAACATTGCACGATCGACTAAACAAGAAAAAGATATAGCAGGCTACGGTAACGGAGCAGATATGAAAATGATAAGAATTTCAATACTCACAATTGACTGCGGGCACGATTGTACACGTTCAACTCCTTGACATCTAAAAAATAAACACAAATCAGATGCGCTGTGATTTGTGACTTTAATTCATATTTAATTCGCTAAATTAACTAAAACTTAATAGCACCTAAATATAAAGATAACAAAAATAAGATCTAATCTGGTAAAAATATATTACTTACTATGTAAATTTTCTCATCACAATAGTCTTCAAATTTTGTACCCACAAAGGTAATATCCGACTGATGAAAATCACAAGAAGACACTATATGTGCGCATTTATGAAAAGTACAAACACAATTAATCATAACTCAATAGTCATTAACTGCAGTCGATTGCCAATTGAATATTGCACTTTAAAAACACGCGATGTAACACTACGGAGATGCGCTAAGACTGCACAACTAACACTGCCGGAGCCAAGGAGAGATGACAATGTTGACCGTAAACAAAGTAAAGTGCGTAGCGCATGCGTAAATGATGAATTCTACCAGTAGGTGCGTACGCAACAAACGCGCAGAACGAATTCCTGTAACAAACAAAATGCCTAGATCGCGCGCAAACCCGAAAAAAAACATGAAAAATATCATTTTATGCAAATTTTCGCGGGTTACAGGGAGAGTTGCTGCAACAAACTATTACCACCCGACGGAGAATGAAATTCCGCATCTTTTGACGCCGCGCTGAAGTTGGTGAGACGCCTAGATCGCGCGCAAATCAAAAAAAAAACATAAAAAATTTCACTTCTATGCAAATTTTCGCGAATTTAATTCCGCAACTTTTGACGCCGCGCTGAATTTAGTGAGACGCTTGGATCGCGCGCAAACCCGAAAATACCATGAAAAATTACACTTTTATTCAAATTTTCGCGGGTTGCAGGTCGAATTCCTACAACAAACAAATACCACCCGACGGCGAATTTATTTTCGCATCTTTTGACGCCGCGCTGAAGCTAGTGAGATGCCTAGCTCGCGCGCAAACCCGAGAAAACCATGAAAATCTACACTTTTATGCAAATTTTTGCGAGTTACAGGGGGAGTTGCTGCAACAAACTATTACCACCCGACGGAGACTTTAATTCCGCATCTCTAGACGCCATGCTGAATTCAGTGAGCCCCCTAGATTGCGCGCAAACTCGAAAAAATACAAACATTTCACGAGAAAGGGTGACAACAATCACCCTTTCATTCAAATTTTCGCGGGTTTCTACGGTGCCCTGAACACGAGTCACTTTTATCGCTAGCCTCTCTGTGAAAAATTACACTTTTATGCAAATTTTTGCGGTTTACAGGGCGAGTTGCTGCAACAAACTATTCCCACCCGACGGAGAATTTAATTCCGCAACTTTTGACGCCGCGCTGAATTTAGTGAGACGCCTGGATCGCGCGCAAATCCGAAAAAACTATAAAAAAATTACACTTTTATGCAAATTTTTGCGAGTTACAGGGAGACTAGCTGCAATAAACTATTACCACCTAACGAAGAATTTAATTCCGCAACTTTTGACGCCGCGCTGAATTTAGTGAGACGCCTAGATCGCGCGCAAGCCCGAAAAAAACATGAAAAATAACATTTTATGCAAATTTTCGCGGGTTACAGGGAGAGTTGCTGCAACAAACTATTACCACCCGACGGAGAATGTAATTCCGCATTTTTTGACGCCATGCTGAAGTTAGTGAGACGCCTAGATCGCGCGCAAACCCGAAAGAACCATAAAAACTGACACTTTTATGCAAATTTTTGGGGGTTACAGGGAGAGTTGCTGCTACAAACTATTCCCACTCGACGGAGAATTTAATTCCGCAACTTTTGACGCCGCGCTGAATTTAGTGAGACGCCTAGATCGCGCGCAAGCACAAAAAAACCATAAAAATAACATTTTATGCAAATTTTCGCGGGTTACAGGGAGAGTTGCTGCAACAAACTATTACCACCCGACGGAGAATGTAATTCCGCATTTTTTGACGCCGTGCTGAAGTTAGTGAGACGCCTAGATCGCGAGCAAACACGAAAAAATCATAAAAAATTACACTTTTATACAAATTTTCGCGGGTTACAAGCAGAGTGGCTGCAACAAACTATTACCACCCGACGGAGAATGTAATTCCGCATCTTTTGATGCAGTGCTGAAGTTAGTGAGACGCCTAGATCGAGCGCAAACTCAAAAAAAACAATGAAAAATCACAATTATATGCATATACACGGCATGCGGCATGAGGAGATAGCAACGCCACACAAAAAAGTTGTTATACACAAACGCACTGTCCAAGGCAGAAATTAACGAAAAATATAATTTAAGAATAAACTCACTAATGCAGACGTCATCGGACTCCAAGGCACGGAAAATACTGTTAATAAAAAAAGAAAATAATAGTTAAAACAGAAATGTTGCATACGATTTAGTAATATTATGTTTACACAGAGATAGCAACCAGAAAATTGATGATTACGGAAGATTGTAAAATTCTCTATCAGATGGAAATTTGAAATAATTCAGTTCAATGAAGTGAAAGGTCGAAAAACGCGACTAAAAGTACTAAAAAGTGACATTTTTCAATTTTTGACGATTTATTTCAATCGCGAATATCTCGTAAACTAAAAGAGATACATAGGTACAAATCGCAGAGAGTATTCTACGAACTATTCTCTATAAGATAGACTAGTTAAAACAAAAATCTGATTGATGAAATTTTCATTCTTAAGAAAAAATTGCCAAGGAGGGGTGCTTGATACTTTTTTTCGACGATTTTTGATAATCAATATCTCTTAAACTAAAAGAGATAGCTACCAACGAATTGTTGATTATGAAAGATTGGAAAATTCTCTATCAGATAAAAATATAAAATAAATATATTTCCTACAGTAAAAGGTCGAAAAACGCGACTAAAAGTGCTAAAAAGTGACATTTTGCAATTTTTGCCCATTTTATTCAATCGCAAATATCTCGTAAACTAAAAGAGATAAATAAGATCTGATCGCAGCGTCTTAATCTACTGACTATTCTCTATCAGATAGGATAGTTAAAAGGGAAATTTGAGAGATGAAATTTTCATTCTTAAGAAAAAAATTGCTAAGGGGGTGCTTGATACTTTTTTAGACGATTTTCAAAAATCAATATCTCTTAAAAAAGAAGAAGAAGAAGAAGAAGAAGAATATCTCTTAAACTAAAAGCGATAGCAACCAACGAATCGCTGATTATGAAAGATTAGAAAATTCTCTATCAGATCAAAATATAAAATAATTATATTTCCTACAGAAAAAGGTCAAAAAACGCGACTAAAAGTGCTAAAAAGTGACATTTTTCAATTTTTGCCCATTTTATTCAATCGCGAATATCTCGTAAACTAAAAGAGATATTTAAGATCTGATCGCAGCGTCTTAATCTACGGACTATTCTCTATAAGATAGGCTAGTTAAAACGGAAATCTGAGAGATGAAATTTTCATTCTTAAGAAAAAATTGCCAAGGGGGGGTGCTTGATACTTTTTTTCGACGATTTTTGATAATTAATATCTCTTAAACTAAAAGAGATAGCAACCAACGAATTGCTGATTATGAAAGATTGGAAAATTCTCTATCAGATAAAAATATAAAATAATTATATTTCCTACAGTAAAAGGTCGAAAAACGCGACTAAAAGTGCTAAAAAGTGACATTTTTCAATTTTTGACCATTTTATTCAATCGCGAATATCTCGTAAACTAAAAGAGATAAATAAGATCTGATCGCAGCGTCTTAATCTACGAACTATTCTCTATAAGATAGACTAGTTAAAACGGAAATCTGAGAGATGAAATTTTAATTCTTAAGAAAAAATTGCCAAGGGGGGGTGCTTGATACTTTTTTTCGACGATTTTTGATAATTAATATCTCTTAAACTAAAAGCGATAGCAACCAACGAATTGCTGATTATGAAAGATTGGAAAATTCTCTATCAGATAAAAATATAAAATAATTATATTTCCTACAGTAAAAGGTCGAAAAACGCGACTAAAAGTGCTAAAAAGTGACATTTTGCAATTTTTGCCCATTTTATTCAATCGCGAATATCTCGTAAACTAAAAGAGATAAATAAGATCTGATCGCAGCGTCTTAATCTACTGACTATTCTCTATCAGATAGGATAGTTAAAAGGGAAATTTGAGAGATGAAATTTTCATTCTTAAGAAAAAAATTGCTAAGGGGGGGTGCTTGATACTTTTTTTAGACGATTTTCAAAAATCAATATCTCTTAAACTAAAAGAGATTGCTACCAACGAATTGTTGATTATGAAAGATTGGAAAATTCTCTATCAGATAAAAATATAAAATAAATATATTTCCTACAGTAAAAGGTCAAAAAACGCGACTAAAAGTGCTAAAAACTGACATTTTTCAATTTTTGCCCATTTTATTCAATCGCGAATATCTCGTAAACTAAAAGAGATAATTAAGATCCGATCGCAGCGTCTTAATCTACGCACTATTCTCTATAAGATAGGCTAGTTAAAGCGGGAATCTAAGAGATGAAATTTTCATTCTTAAGAAAAAATTGCCAAGGGGGTGTGCTTGATACTTTTTTTCGACGATTTTTGATAATTAATATCTCTTAAACTAAAAGCTATAGCAACCCAAAAATTGCTGATTATGAAAGATTGTAAAATTCTCTATCAGGTAAAACTTGAAAATATTTATATTTCCTACAGTAAAAGGTCGAAAAACGCGACTAAAAGTGCTAAAAAGTGACATTTTGCAATTTTTGCCCATTTTATTCAATCGCGAATATCTCGTAAACTAAAAGAGATAATTAAGATCCGATCGCAGCGTCTTAATCTACAGAATATTCTCTATAAGATAGGCTAGTTAAAGCGGAAATCTGAGAGATGAAATTTTAATTCTTAAGAAAAAATTGCCAAGGGGGGGTGCTTGATACTTATTTTCGACGATTTTTGATAATTAATATCTCTTAAACTAAAAGCAATAGCAACCAAAAAATTGCTGATTATGTAAGATTGGAAAATTCTCTATCAGGTAAAAATATAAAATAATTATATTTCCAACAGTAAAATGTCAAAAAACGCGACTAAAAGTACTAACAAGTGACATTTTTCATTTTTTGACGATTTTATTCAATCGCGAATATCTCGTAAACTAAAAGAGATACATATGTACAAATCGCAGAGACTATTCTACAAACTATTCTCGATAGGCTAGCTAAAACGAATTGATAATTTTTTTTCAATGATTGTTATAGTGAATATGTTCCAAACTAAAATAGATAGAAATCAGAGAATTGTAGATTATGAAAGAGTAAATTCTCAATTAAAGAAGATGTTAAATTAATTGAAATTTGTGGGGTAAAATGTTTAAAAACGTTTTCCACCACATGTTTTGAAAATGTCAGAAAATCTTGCACCAGAATTCGAAGAAAAAAATTAAATATCGCATAAGATTCCCAAGATATGACCCTCATACTGTGCTCTAATTCATTTCTACCGCGACCCTTGTACGGGTCCATGAATCAGCGTATTAGGTCACAGAATTTCAAATCAACTACTACTATTCACGAAATATGCAAGATGCTATAGTTCATCCCTTAAAACTTCAAGTAAAAGGGACAAGAAAATGAGTTCATATTACTTACTTGTTTACTCTAACAAACGCCGTTTCCGAAAGCATGAAGTTCACAATGAATAATATCAACTTCTTTTAGTAACAATTGAAGATAATTCTAGTACTGGTTCATCACGTTCACCACACAGAATGATTAGAACTGAATACTGTTAATGACCATTAGACGGTGATTTATTAAAGTACAATGCAAGAAACGGTATGATCCAGAAAACGCACCGACACCCGCACCACGCCACAAAACTAACAAAAAACTGAAAACGTGGACCGAAACTGCATCGAAGGCACGCGATAAGCAGCGATGCAACCACGACGAGCATTTCTGCGCAACTGACTTAAGTCGTCTCTACATAAAGTATTATGCTATATCTTATCTGGAGTGACCGTGGCTGCGCACACCGCACACGTTTGCTGATAAGCAGGGATCGTAGCCGCAGCGAGCGCAGAGAATCGTGCACAGTAAACATTAGAATAACTGGGAGCGTTTTATGCAGAAATCTAATGCTGTTCATCGATCGAAACTACTCCAAACTCTAGGAGATAATTAATCAATCACTTTATTTCTTATTTTATCTATTGTACATAAATATCTGTAGAACATCTACAAAAACAAAAATCAGTTTCTCTTACAGTGGGATTCGTCTGGGATTTGCATGCTTTGTTTTTCAAACTCGTGTAACACAATCGTTTCAATGTTTGAGTCGTCGCGACACTTAAAAAATTAACCATTGTCCATTTCACCGCATACACCGTACACTGCGCCCTCTCGCATTAATAAAAAAATAATAAAATAAAACAACCGGCAAAACAAAACATGCACATGATTTAAAAGTGAATGCGTCCAGTACACAACCAACCAGCGAGAGTAAAATTTCAAACAGATATTTAAAAAAATAATAATTGGCGTCTTGCAATCAGATACAAATAAAAATATAAACAACGACATGAGTTTTAATCATTCATTCAGCCTCATAATTTTCATTAAATATACTTCTACTAATTAATTAGCAAATATTTAATTATTCGTACGAAGGTACAGGGGGATTGAAAAATGGGAGGAAGAGGAACGTCGAGAAGTTAAAAAGATTCATAGAGAGGACATAAATAAGCGACTCAAATCGCCGGAAAATATTTGCAATAGTTACAATGCTATAAATCAAATTGAGATCTCCATTTTCATTTGTTTGCTTCAAACACCCCACGACTCGACTCTCGACCAAACACGGCGCGACACGGCAAACGAAACATTTCCATTTGTCTAGCGGTTTTTACAAGCATGAAACAATAAATTAACTAAACGAGAAAATAAAACCTAGAGGAAAAAATGAAAATAACAAATAAGTTTAAGTACCACATTAATCGCATTCGTGCTTCGTTAATAAACGGTGTCTGAACAAACAGCGCAGAGCATCTTCTCGTTATCACAAAGACACTATCACTTGAATCAAGTTATTGACAAGCAATTAAACGTATTACGGATAGCATTATACAATCAATTAAAATTATAAATACATACTTCTAAAAGTATTTCGAATGCTCTGCGCGTTCGGGATTTGTTTGGACATTTATTATGAAAAATTGCAATTCCAGTTATTTAATTTGATTGTTTCACTTGCGTTTTTGAGGAGAAAAAATTCGGATGGACAACAATCTACGTCTATCTACATGATAAGCAAGTCTTACACAAATCGCCAATTTCAATCATGAACAAATCAGAGAGATAAGAGAATTTGTCTCTAATAAAAAGTCCCGGGACTCGGATACGCCTACTAACAATGAAATTTTTAGTTTGTTTTGTATTTGATTATTTATGTACAAAGTGTTCTTCACTTATGTATAGAATGTAATCTCACTTCTGCACTCGCGAATTGGATATCATCATATTTATGTTTGTTTGTCTCTCAGTGTGCATATGTGTGTGTATGTGTGTTTGTGTTAGAACGCGCGCGAAAGAAACGAGGAAATGTGTGCGTTTTGGCAGGATAATTCTCCACATGTGGACCTGATACCGGTATACTCATTGCTTAACATTTTTTGTTTGTGTTATTACATTTTGGTGTTTGTGTCTACTTATTGATATTTGTCGGTTGCGCGCCTAACGTTCATCATTTCATGACGACGATCACGACCACCTCCGATGCAAGAGAGATAGACGATTTTAGAGTAGAGTTAATATTAAATATCCATATACAATATAAAGTGGTGAAGAATGGATCATGGGAGAGCAGGAATCTTCGCTTGAAATTTCTGTGTTACCAGCTTCGATGCATCATTTTCGCATGTTGGCTTGCCGCCCAGCGACGAATAAATAAATATAAAAATGTTTCCATCTGCTTCTCTCCGCCTGTGTTAGTCGCCGCTCTTGTTTCTTAGTTTTTTTTTTGGTTGTTTGTGTTTACATTCGTTTTAAATGTTTGCGTGTTGATTTTAGCCAGGTACTGAACAGCAAGGCGACAATGGCTAGTTGTTGCAGGCGATTCTCATCGATTGCTACCTATTGTAAAACGCAGAAAATTCATTTATTAAGATTTATTTTTAAGGAACACAATGGCAATTGGTTACCTATGATTAATAATGCCGTTGATGGGTTGCTGCGCTATCGTCGACACCATTTCCAATTCGACGAGCAGTGGAAAATGATCGGAAAAGATGTGTGGATGGGGACAGCCGACGATTTTGTTCTCTTTCAGCCATTCGGCGCTATGCGGCCCGAGCAGACCCAACGGCGTCATACTTTGTTTCGAGTAGAAAATATAATCGATGATACCCTGTAGAAAAATAAACCATTGCACAAAAATATAATTTATTGTCACTTTTTAATCCTGTACCTTGAATTCAAAAGTATAGTTGGTGTAGGGCATAATGTCCTCGCTGTAGGCGGACGCGAGCTTGAAGGAATGTGTAAATTCGCCAGCGGGCTTGTCGCACGCGGAGATCTTCTCCAGGCAGGACTTGTAACTGAAGTCTTTAAAGTCCTTGTGATCCTGCAAGACGCGCCCGCTGCTCAGAAACTCAATGACTCCCGAATCCGGCAACGAGTTGAAATCACCACAGAGTACTAGTTGTATGGCGTTGGCGTCCACGGTGACATTATCGTTCGCACGCAGCGTTGCCGCCGATTCCTCCAGAATGGAACGCAATTCGTTACCGAGCATCATCGTCTGGATGAGTTTTACGTCACAGAACTCGGGGTCCCAGTGAATGTGCGCCGTGCACACCAGGAGTGGTTGTTGCGTGAGCGCTGAGCCTTCGGGCGCGTGCTCCCATGCAACTTCTGTCGTCTGCAGGAGCGCGGCCAGTCCGATGTTATCTTTCGGCATCACACGATTGAGCATGTGATCCAGCCCGTCCGCATTTGCCATTGCCAATTGATTAAATTCGACTAAATGTTCCTTAATTAACGTAAATCTACAGGGACACAACACAAGAACAAAACCAACATCACATATCTGTCAATAAATTAAGATATCTATATGGTAACATACTTTGATCTTCGGTAGAAAATGGCACAGCCGTCCACATACTTCCGCTCGTTCTCAGCCATCGTCTTCGCGCGCGACTTTGGTGAGTAGATGCCCTCGTAACCGTCCTTCTTCAGCTCCGGCAAAAAGTAGTTGTAGAACTGCTCCATCTCGACCTCCTGCAGGTTGATAATGTCTGCGCTGTAATGGCGGATCTCGTCCATGATGCCCTTCTTGCGGTAGTCCCAATTGAGCGCCCACGTCGGACAGTAGCTGTACATTTGACGCGTCGCGTACTTATCACAAAGTACGTTGTAGCACATTACCGTAAATATACCTTTAGAAGAAAAATAGAAACATGGTCAACAAATCAACAACGGGTGCCATTTTTTAATAAAGTAAAGCATTGGATAGTAGTTAATATGTTTATATTTAGTTTAAGTTGTGTGTTATTAATTCATTTAATTTAATTTAGATGTATCCCTTGAATTTTCGACATTTCTGCTGATAATTCATTCATAATATACGAGAGAAAGAGAAAATGATGTCGATGCCGCCATAGCATGCACATGTCGACGTTGGAAGTCGCGATTTAAGGCATAAACGATGCGATTTGCATATTTGCGCCTTGCAATAAAGTGTCCCGAGAGCGTTATGAGCAATTGAAATTATGCATGTTGTGGCATGGGTGCGCCGTCACAAGTGTGCAGGTTGGGCGCGCAAAATGGCGGAGATCGCCCGCTCGCCGGTAAAGTGCATACAACATACAAGGTGTTAGGAAAATAAAACAAAATCAAAAAGCATCACATCGATAACAAAATATACCATGAAAAGAAAATCCTGCTCTGTACAGGCAAAGGTGTCGATAGAAAAAAGCGCAACTTGTGTGGTATCTATCACATATTTAGATTTAGAATGTGTCGAATGCAATTATGCTGCAATCGACATGATCGTGCGCAATTGCTGCTCTGCCTTCGACACATACCAAACGCGTAGAAATATTTTAATTGAAAAATGTACAAAGCGAGAGAGAAAAATAAAACGCAACGAAAGAGAAAGTTTTCTGCGGTAAAACAAAATGGCAGCGCAACTTACAGGTAGGACGATTCCTCATTGGCCTGCTGACCGGAATCCACGGTCTTTGTGGGGGCGCTGGTGTCGTTACTGCAAATAACAAGAAATCAAACAATTAATTAATATTGCATTGCATTACAGGTTGTCTACATTAAAACACAAAACCTATTTTATCCGCTACCTCTTCGCCCCGCTAAATAGTGACATTGTAACTCAATTCACGTTTCATGTTTCTTGCTGATTAATCTTCCAAATAAGCCAACGTGCACGTGTACACACGCCAGCAAATAATCCACATAATAATAGGCTCGTTGCGCGCAAGAAAAACGCGAGCGAATCATGTAATACGACGCGCATTAGCGCGCGGCTCGAAGCATTCATTCTATATTAAATCGACGAATAAGCAGATACGAAACAAGCAACAAACGCAAAAACAAAAACGTATTAGGTAGCGCGGGCAACAGGTAGCACTCGAGTGTAGACTAGAAAAGGCATGAATTAATGTGTAACAAAAAACCGCGCGCCGCGTTCCTCAAGGACAAGACTAGCGTAGCGAATCAACGTTTTGCCAATGTGTCTATATTTCATATACTCAACAAATAAAACTACAAGCCACTAACTAAACAAATACAAAATTTTAACTTGAAAACGTGGCAAAATGTAAATTATTTTCACACGCCTTCAGCAATTACCAAACTTGTGCGTTTTGCGTATCCAAATGAAGATTTCACCAGTCAACACACGTTAGCAGATGATCGCGTCTTCATAAAAACGCACAAACATTCATCATCGACGCCGCGTATAATTTATTACGTTTAGGAAGAGTAGATAGATGGTCTCGACGTCTTAATTGTTGTTTAATTGCGTTGGAAATCATCGACTCCGACACATTCATCGACAACGCTCTTTAACACACTATAATTGCGCGTACATATCTCTTCCATGCGTTGGAATTTCTATTATTCGGCAACAATTTACATTTAATTTCAAGTTTTGATGTAGTGTGTGAGTGCTGGCCATTTAATTTCGTAAGTATTTTTATTTTTCGCTGCGGTAATTTGGCAGTTTCCTAAATGTACGCGCACGCCGTCACGTTTCGGCTATAAACGTGGATTTGCGCCTCACGAAAAGCGCATAAAATACTAAAAACCTAACAAAATACAAACAACGCCATGATCTTCAGCAGCCGCGAGTAAATTTGGTTGCATATTCATAGAGCGCAACCTTTAAAAACACACAATTAAAATATTAATCTTCAGCGTGAATAAATATAAATAATACGCGTATTGTTGTTTAACGACCACTTATTGCTATTGAGGCGAAAATTAACGCCTCGCAAAATTGCTGAGTGACAAAAGCGAGATCGTGAGGTTAGGTTTTACACGCGCGTCTCATCTATCTAACCAAACTTTTCATATGCTAATCCGCGCCGTGTAAATCTATGCTAATTGCGTGTCAAATTGTGGGTGTGTACGCACATCTTGTGTTATTGATAATCAGCGCAAAATGCAAATGTGACGTTTCAACAATGCGCATTGTGTTGGATTTTTTCTCACTTCCAACACTCGGATAAATGGAGTGATACATTGACATTTAGCATCGTTTAACAAGGAAACGAGTTCAAAAACCATGAAACGTGTAAAAAATATTCAACAAATCGTTGTCGATCGATGATATCATTCATGCTGCCTTATGTGGAGCAAAAAACATTATCGAACATGTGAGATCCTTGGAACAAAATTTACAAGTCCATTTTCGTAAGCAAAGTTCAAATTAAGTTGTGTTTCCACAGCATGTGCGTGCGCTAAATTTTCCGTTAAAACGTGCGTTAACATTAAATTTGTATTAAACGCGTAATGATCGTAATGAAATCGCAAAAAGTCCTTGAATCAGCTCCAGTGAAACTCTCAACAACTCTCGCAACTCATAACTATTTTTTTTTTCTTCTTCGTAAAGCTGTTTGCTTTGAACGCAAGAATTGATTCGTTGTAGTCATCTAGCGCTGTGCTTCGTGCGCTCGCGCTTCGAATCTCTGGGCAATTTTATTGTTATTTCGTTATTAAATGTGTCGCAAAACTTTATATTTTCAACAGCGCTTAGAGAACACGCACGAGACATGCGAGAAAAAATTAAATCGAAATAAATGTTGAACTTGACACGATTAACAAGTGTAACACCAAATATTAATAAAACAAATATCGCGACGCTAATATTTGTGTTTAAAAAGTTTCGCTAGAAGTAAATTTGCATTACACATGCGTCCGCGGTGTCAATGTGTGTCGTTCGAATATTAAACAGGACTTAATATTCGTGGGCCGGCACGCGTCGCATATCAAAATAAAAAGTAAATACGCATCACGCATGGCGACGAGCACCGAAAACCGTGTTAGACACCCGAAACGAGACTAGGGCGCGTGCGGTGAAAGTTTTGGATCCGGACACATGACACAAACGACAAAATTATACAAACAAAATTGTCGGAATACAAGTACATTAGTGCAGTCAATGATACACACGCAAAATTTGTGAATTTTGTGCATATTCTTGCATTTTGCAGTCATCTATGCACAAAGTTAGACATAAATATTCATAAACGTTGTGTACACTCGCTCGAATCAACAAAAAATGCATTTTCACACTTCATGCATGAAAATGGTGTCACTGTTTGCAATATTTTAATGTAATTATATTACTAAAGAATACAATTAATAAATAAAAAGATTTATGTTATGCGTTAACCTTTTATAGAAATATTTCTTTTAATAACAAATAATACTTTTAATAATAACTTTTACTACTTATGTATAAAATGTATTCAGTATAAAATTGTAAATACAAATATTACATATAATTCGGACGTCGATGAAGACGTTGATTCCGATGACGACTCAGCGGCTGATTCCGATACTGAATAATTTAAATAAAAACCTTATTTTGTATTACCATTTTCAAATATATCGAATTTTTCTAAAAAATAGTTGTTTTATTTATTCACATCATTATAATGAAACAAATCAATTATATATATTTATCAATAATGTTTGAAGCATATACTAAACCAAAAAGTATACAAAACTGTTGATACTGGGATTGACAGTTTCAATTCTTGGATATTATATACACACCGTTTCACTTCAGTTAGACGTCATAATGATTTTATCATATTATCAATTGTTCTCTTCAAAAATATGTTAATGCCGTACAGTATCAGATGGCCATAAAGTACCCTTAAAATGGTAGCGTCATTTTCATCAGCCTAAAAGATATGGTCTGCATTAAAATGTACGGCATTATTTTTTCCTAATTTAATTACCTTAATACTATTTAAAACAAGGGAAAAATGTAGAAAATTGCTATCTTTCATTAATCTATGAATATTTAAACTTTTGCAATAATTTAAAAAATTTCAGTTTTTGTATTTCTCTGTAATTTTTTTTTGAACAGTTTCTTTTGAACGGCAATACTATATAACCATTGTATTTCACAATATCATGTTAAAAAAAAAGTTCCCGTACAGGGTCAAATGGTTTTACAGCTTTATACATCAAGTATACCATGAAATTAAGATAATTATTAATATACATTCAAATGAACAATAATTTTTTGACGGCATTATTTTTAATAGTACTTTTGAGTGCTAGAGAATGTTTTGGAACCGATGCCGTACTTTTTCAAATCACCCCCTGGACCACGGAAAGAGAGGGGGTTGCAACCCTCAATTTTTCCCCTTGTCGCATGATTTTTTGTACGGCGTTGCGGAATAATGGATTAGAAGCTGTATTGAAACAGTACGAAACTGATGCCGTACAAAATCGAATGACCAAATTTACCCTGGAAATTTTCGAAAATCAAAAAAATTTACCGACTTTGTGGCGCACTATTTTTTTACGGCACTGCGCGCTTTCTTATTATTTTTTAAAGATCTATCGATGGTAAAAATGCCGTACAAAAATATATGACCGAAATGTACTCACTCTGCCTGTACTTTCAAATTCTCACCAGCACTCAGTTGGACAGCTTACAAGTGACGGCATAGTGTTAAATCTTATTATTTTATGATCTTATATCGTCCTAAATAGGTCACCTGATGGTTCATATGACCCATAAATTTTTGGACATGGGCCTGTAGTCTATAAGTCCACTCAACTCTCACACACTCATAAAACATGTACCTAATTATTCATTTTTCGTTTCTTCGTTGCATGTCAAAAGAGAAGCAATAAAACATAAAAACTCTTCAAGATGCTTAAATAATAAAACAATGATTAAATTATGATTAACGACCCGACATTGCTTGACTTTGTATGGTTTAATTCGCGTCACCTTGATGCGCTTGCAATTATCTGACCATGCAACATGCAACACGCGTCGCAATGCGAAGAGCAATTAAAAATTAAATTTCATACAGTGATACGCCGAGGACGCTTTCTTTGGTAGCGCGCTGCCATATAAACCCAGCAGCAAGATTCCGCGCGCGCTACGATCGCACCAAAAATGGGCGCAAAAAATCCGCTTACAAGCGCTGTTAACACTCAATAAAACATTTTTTCCGCTCATCACCTTGATATAAATACCAATACGCTGTGCTTCACATCAATTTCCCTACAAGGAGTGTCTTTGTAACAAATTTCTATACCGAAAAAAAAAACAGATAAAAATAAAGTCGCTGCGAAGCGTAAAGTGTAGGAAGTGAAAACGAGGCCGACTGTCGGAAGCTTAGTCCCAAGCTGAACAATTGTTGCAATTTTTTTCTCTCGCGCGCGCGTGGTAATTTACAACACAGCGTCGTCATATTGTCATCAGTGATAATAACATCTCTGCGATTACGTCGTGGAGTAGACATCATGCGCGCATTACGCATTTCGCGAAAAATTCGAGCACAACTTTTAGAAATCGACTTTCTTTTCATGCCCGCTCGTCTTCCTTCGTGCTGTGATTCGTAATTTAAGCAACACACTACCGTCTTCGTTGGATATTGTATTTCCTAGTTATTAGATTACCAACGGCAATTACCATTATAAAAAAATTAAAATAAAAAATTTAAAAAATTAATAAATAAATGTAATTTCATGATTTCATTATGATTGATT